CATATAAATTTTAGAATCAGGTCATCAGTTTCTGCAGACTGGAATTGTGTTGAACATCTGTGGATCAATGTTGTATCTCAGCATCCCCCAACAAGGTCACAAAGCTAGGCAATAGTATTAAAGAGGAAGAGTCCATACTGAAGCTGAACAGCATATTGCTCCACAAAGGAGGTCTCCAAAAACACTTGATGTATCTATCTATTCAGAGGATATTTTTAGTTCTCCAGTACAATTTTAGGCTGAAATACTAATTGGTAACTGAAAATTAAGTATAGGAAATTTGAAAGTCAGAAAAAGAAAACATTGTGTAAGAAAGGAAATTGACTACTCATTGTAACTCACCTATGATTAATGTATACAATTTAGTGAAATACCAAATACTGATATAACAAAAATAATGATATTACTATAACAGAATATATTTTTATAGGACATAGAATTGGAAATTTATAGGAAATGTATTTTTGTGTGTGTGGGGGAAGGTGTTTTTTCATTAAAGGAATATTTTATTTAAAAATATGAGGTTATACCAGAAAACACAGCTAATATTGAAAGTGGTACCCTAAGAAAATTGAAAATAAGTTGCCCTGGGAGGGTGGGGGCAGCAACTGATAAGCCTATTGGTAGTATTTGGCGTTTTACTTAGTGTGTATACTTTGTTGAAATTTATTTTTAAAAAGAAAGGGAATGCCCAGTCAGTGTGGGTCCGTGGTTGAGCATCAACCCATGTACCAAGAGGTCGCTGGTTTGATTCCTGGTCAGGGCACATGCCCAGGTTGTGGGCCAAATCCCCAGTGCGGGGCATGCATGAGGCAGCCAGTTGATGGTCTATCTCATCGATGTTTCTATCTCTCACTCCCTTTCCTCTCTCTCTAAAATCAATAAAGAAAAAAAAAGTTTTAAAAGAGGCGAAAGAAAGATTATAAGTAGCTTTCTCAAAGTCACAAAGCGACAAAGATCTGGGTTCAAATATTGTCTTGCCAAGTCCATTGATTCCAGAGTCCAAGCCCCTTAATCACTTCCCTTTAGTCTGAAGGGGAGATTGTCCAGAACACAGTTGTTTTACACATAATTTTGAAATTATGACCTAAATGTTAAAGACTACCCCTTTTACATAGATAGTGAGCGGGTCTTCAGTTTTCTCCTCTTGTTCCCAGCTCTGTCTAGTGCAGAACTATACATATAACAGGACTATGGTAAATATCTGTGCAACACTTCAGAAGAATGATTAATGCAAGCTGGAAATACCTTAAGACATCGGAGAATATAGATCTGGGGCTAGACTTTAAATATGAGAACAACTTAGTCTTGGAATGGGGGAGGAGTATGAAAATCAGGCTATATATAACTAATGAGGGATATTACATGAATAGTGATCAGAATCAAGGGTATTTTGCCCTTGTTCCTTGCGGGGGGATAGATTTATTAACTAGTAGGTGGGAATCAAGCAATCAGAGGCTTTAAATAACTTATACAGTAAACACTTGATTTTGTGGACCTCAATTTAACAGACTTAGGATTTAACGGACAAAATTCCTGGTCTGTAGCTCATGTGAAAATTAGCACCCTGTTAATTTAAAAAAACAAAATTTGCTTATAATTAAAATAACAGGTTATTTTTCATTGTTATTAATTCACTGGTTTTTTTTTTTTTTATCCTCACCTGAGGACATTTTTCCATTTTTTGTTCAGATAGAGCGGGAGGGAGGGAGGGAGGGAGGGAGGGGGAGAGAGAGAGAGAGAGAGAGAGAGAGAGAGAGAGAGAGAGAGAGAAACATCGATATGAAGGGACACATCGAGTGGCTGCCACCCGCACGACCAACCAGGGCCGGGGACAAACTGCAACCGAGGTACATGCCCTTAGCGGGAACCGAACCCAGGTCTCTCTGTACCGCAGGCCGACGCTCTAACTGCTGAGCCAAACTGGCCAGGGCCACTGGTTTTTTTTGTTTGGTTGTTTTGTTTTGTTGTTAATTCTCACCCGAGGATATTTATCCATTGATTTTTAGATAAGAGTGGAAAGGAGGGAGGGAGACAGAGAGACATTAATGTGAGAGAGACACATCGATTGGTTGCCTCCCCCATGACCCTGACCAGAGCCAGGATCAAATCTGCAACCTAGGTGTGTGCCCTTGACAGGGAATTGAACCCTCAACCCTTCAGTCCAAGGGCCAATGCTCTAACCTTTGAGCCAAACCAGCCAGGCCTTTACTGTTATTTTTAACACATTGTAGCAAATAGGCCATGTGTTGGAAAAAACACTAGTAATTTCGCTGACATACATAAATATATCTACAACTATAGTCTGCATATTTGAATCCAAGAGTCACTGCTCCTAAACAGTGTTTGGGAAATGATTAGTAGGTGATCACACCACATCTTAAAGTAATTGATTGTGTTGTCAGGTGGCATGCCTTTCTGCAGTAGTTTGTGCTGGTCAATATTCCCATGTGCCCTAAGCCACCCCCCAGCTGTGTGCATTTGTTTACCAGAGGTGACTGGTGAATAAACACATATACTAGTTCTATTCAGTATAACTTTAAAATTAGTCATATATGTAGAAAACCTTTCTGTGAAATCAGACTTTTCACACATACTTCATTTTAATTATACAAACGTGTCTACGTATGTAAAAACAGGTAATCTAATTTCTTAATTTTTTAACATACGTGTTTGGAAAACTTTACTATATAACAGACTTTTGGCTTTAATGGACACACCTCACCTGAATTAGTTATATTGAGGTTTTACTGTATTTTAAGTTTCAAGTTTTCAAAGAAGTTATATTAACTTTTGTGCTTCCTGGCTAATAAATAGTAGGGTAAATGTCTCTTCATGGCAACAAATAAAAAAGGAACTTAATAAATTATCTAGTGCAGTGCCCAATGGCTTGTACGTACCAGGCCTTCAGTAAGGCAGTTTGTTGTCAAGAGTCACAGTGTTATAACTGAAAGAAGCCTTAGATCATTACAACTAAATGAGGCCTTAGAATAAGTGGCTTAAACAATAAGGGACATTTATAATTTTACGTATCAAAAGATCCAGAGGCAGGTCTCCAGTTAGTTTATTCAACAGTTCAAGGACTTCATTAAGGATCTAGATTCTTTCTATTTGGTTCCATCATCAGTGTGTTTGGCTGATCAATGTAATCTTAGGTACAGGGAGTTCCAGGCAACAGACCGTCTTCAGACAAGGCCCTAAGGCTAGAAGAAGATGGAATCTGGGAGAGTGCATCTTTTCCTCCTGTAAGAAACCTTTCCTAGAATTCCCCTTTGTAGAGTCTATTCACATCTCATTGGCCAGAATTGAGTCACATGTTTATTCCTGAAATAATCACTAACCAAAGAGAGTGAAATTACCATAATGAGCTTAGGTTAATTATGACACAGGCACACACCCTACTCTCAGGCTTTCCTGAAGCATCCGATCATACAGTTCCTAAATAAAATTATTTTGGGGGAGGGAAGAAAAAGGGGCATTGTCATTGAAAAGGCAGTCAGCAACATCACAGGAAGGTGTCAGAACAAGTTAGTGATAGGCCTGTAGTAGAATCCTGGTATCCTGATTCTCAATTTAATTCTTCCTTTTTCAGATAAATAACCTATTTGCTTAGTAAATGATTATCATCAATAGTGCTACATTTTCTTCTTTTTTTTTTTTTTAGGTTGAGTTAGGTTGAGAGTGGAAGGAAGGGAAAAAGAGAGATAGACATTAATGTGAGAGTGACACATCAATTGGTTGCCTCCTGCACAACCCCAACTGGGACCGGGGATAGAACCTGCAACCCAGGTACATGCCCTTGACCAGAAGGCAAACCTGAAACCTTTCGATTCACAGGCTGGCGCTCTAACGTCAAACTGGCCAGGGCGTTACTTTTTTTTTAAATAATTTATTTCTTATTGATTTTAGAGAGAGAGGTAGAAACATCGATGAGAGAGAACATCGATTGGCTGCCTCCTGCATGTCCCCTATTGAGGATTGAGCCCACAACCTGGGCATGTGCCCTGACCAGGAATTGAACCTCTTGCTGCATGAGGTTCTCAGCTACCCAACTACTGAGCCACACCAGCCAGGCAATATTGCTACTTTCTCTAAAGACTATTGAATATGTCCATATAATTCTGACTCAAATATTGTTTGGGGGTGGGGGGGGGAGTATACAATTATACAACTATATATGTGATTTTCTTTTTTGTAAAGCATATTGAATTCCTCATAAACAACTTGCAGTTCCTTATGTGTATCTTGTTTCTACCTCTGCATTTGTTCCTACTACTTCCATTGCCTAGAAAACATACATACTATGTCCTTTTTTGACTTACTTGAATACTATTCAGATTTCAAGTATTGGTGCCTTTCTGAAACCTTTCTTGACCTATCAGTGAAATTGGTTGTTTGTACCCTTATGTACTCACTATATCATGTTCTAGATTCTCCTACACATGTATAGTATTTTATTTTTTTACAGGCTTGTCTTCCTTTTCTAGTCTAATAAGTTTTCATTATACAGACTTTTCCTTTGATAAGTCTAGGGTATAACATAATACTGGATATGTAATAATTGCCACTAATAGTTTTATTTAATGAATGGATGAATCATATTTGTAATTTGGGTGTAGGGAGAGATTTTTATTTGTGTTCTATTTGATTTTGCCTCTTCCAACTGGTAGAATATGAATGTGGTTCTATAATCTCTTCATTTTGAAGAATTTTTTCCCATTGAGGCAAAAGGGATTTCTATCAGCATAATTTATTTCTGTGAACACAATTTTCTTTAAACTTAAAAAAATATATTGCAGGAAAAGCATTTCATTTTATGTGTATTACTTCTTACAGAGCAAATTTAGCCCTTAGTTCTGTAGAGTTGTCAAAGGAGGTAAACATTACGGTATTGTACCTAATGCAAATTAGATGCTCACTAAACATATGTTTATATAGGTAGATATGCTGTAAATAGAGCTATTCACTTTATGATTTAATTTTTTCTTTTTTTATTTTAGCATTTATGACAGTAACAGAGAACAGGACTATGTCAAGAACTCTGGGGGTATACTTGGTGACAATGAATTAAGACCACCCTCCCAGCTACATTCTCTCTTAGAGAAGACCAGGACAGGGTTCATATCAGAAAAGAGTGGGTATTAAACTAAATGCAATAAGTTATTACTAATGAATTCAAAGTAGACTAGAATAACTTTTTAAATTTTCATTTTAATCATATAAAATGAAAGGACTTTTTAAAATTTTTAATTTCCAATAGCTACAAATTTCTTTTAATCATTAGTTCACAATTGATAAGTGATTAAGTTTTCAAATTGCATCAGACAAGGTATTTAAGGAAAATTGTCACATTCTTCATTTGTATTTTTTGAAATTATGATTGATTTTACTTGATTCTGAATTAAGATATTTTAGATAGAAGTAATACATGCTTATATAGGGAAAAAAACCTAAATTTGTAGTAATATATATAAAGTAAAAAGTATAAGTTTCCTTTTAGCCACTTCCCACTCTCAATAACCTTTGGTTTAAACACTGTTAATTTGGTTTCCCATCTTTCTAGATTTTTATCTGTACACTTTCAAATACATTTGCAGTGTTCTTTTTACTAACATGACATTATATAATGCATGTTGTTTACTCCATAGTATATAATAGATATCTTTATATGCCAGTATATGCAAATTTATTTAGTAGCTGCAGTGTGTTTCTCTGTTGATGGCAATTTAGGTTATCTCCAGTGTTTTTGCTATTATGGATTCTGGTGCATGGAGCCCTCTTGTACATATATTCTGTGCACTTACACTAGTATTTCTGAGGAATGGATTTCCAGAAATGGAATGGTTATTTGGTATACACATTTAAGTTTTTGTTAGGTCCTGCCAAATTGTGCTCTAAAAAAGTTGTATTTATCTTAAACTTAAACTGGAAATTCTTTAATATCTTAAAAGTAAAGGTAATACATATTAGGATTAGATGATTAAGGGATGGGCTCCTTCAATAAGTATCAAATGGCCTGCTTAGATCAAGTATATAGACATAAGTAGTATTAGTAGGTGGAGTTTGCAATCTGTCTATAGGGAACACTTATTAATTAAGGGCCTTTAATGGCAGATATAGTTGGGTTCTGTCTGAGTGTTTCTCTTGTTGATGAGTGCTGTAGTTTAATGCATAAACAGGATATGTGGTCATGAAAGTTCTGGGAAGATGTAGAAATGGCTGGCTTTTGTCAGACTTTTGTGAAACCTGAGTTGTTGACATTAGTTCATCTCATTATTTGATTTTAGATCACATGCTTGTAGAATGAAAAAGATACCTGTGACATAGCATCAACAATTGGTTTATCATTTTTCTGATCCCTTTTATTAGAAGTTAAAAAGAGAAAAACGTCCAAAACCAGACACTCACGATCTCTGATGGATTTTGAGAAAGGAGAGATTAATGCAGGGTACTTTGAGCAGAATTCACCTTATGTCAAGCTTAATTTAACCTTTTAGATTGAATCCACAAGTAGTAGAGAAATGTGTCTGTCCAAAGTTGGGAGCCACAGGAACGCATATTAACTCAATTTACAAAGCCATTGTGATTGAATGCAAATTTTCTCCATGTGCTTTCTGTTGGTCACTTAAACCCTAAGGGACACTTTTTCTACTTCACAGGCAGGTACTTTTCAGGTTATCTTTTTAGATGTTGTTTTAGGTTTCTTTATACAATAGTCCCCTCTTCATTCTCCTAATATTCTTATAACCTTGAATGTATAAATAAAGCATGTGTATTGCTCAGTAAAAATGAGGTTATGAATTTAGGACTTGTAGTGTTTCCTATATTAGTTAGACTCTTAAATGCAAGTACGTTATGTAAGGAGAGACAATGTCAAATAATTTCTCCATAAAATTCTCACCTGTCTTTTTTTTTTAGAGTAGGAAACTTGTGCTTTCTTGAGTATAATTGAAGTCATTTATTATGAACTCATGAAAAATTAAAGATTTACTGTGGTTTTCTGACAGCTTGTCTTTTGACATGCTTTTTCTTATAACTGTAAAATGATTACTTTTATAAATAAATTGCTATATGGAGGATGACCTAAAGGGGAAGCATTTTTAACCATAGAGAAATAGTGTTAGAAATAAAAATATTAAGCACAAAGTAATTTATTTCCTACTTATTTCTCCTTGCTTATATTTTTCTTTTGTATTTTTTATATTTATTTTCTTTAAAAAATTTTTAAATTTATTTTGTTATTTATTTTAAATCATCTTATTAATAGCTTTATTGGGAACAGTATTCTACACACTGGTGTAACATGTTCTCTGACCACATGTATTTAGGAAACACTGTGTTAGATAGGTTGTTTTTTGTTTTTTTTAAATTGCACTACTTTTACAGTTTTCAGTGTGTTGTGCATTGACACTCAAAAATAGGGGTATGTGTAGTATTCAGTACTTGTGAAATTTAAAACTTTTGCCCAACTATTAACATCTTGGGGGATTTAGAGAAGTTGATAATCACAGAGGGATAATTTCCAAAGCTATGATAACTTTTGTTGCTGTCCTATAAGCAACATATTTCTCAAATATTGAGCCTCAAAGTATACTTACATTTTTTAATATTATACTGCCTTTTAAAAAATATTAAATACAGGCTTCCAAAATTATACTTTTTAAAGAAATCCTGATTTGTATTTGAGCTTTTGTAAGATGATTTTGCAAGTACATAGGCCTCCTAGTTTGTTTTGAGTAATGCAGTTTCAGAAAGCTATAATTTTAATTATTATCATGGTGTTTTACTATTTTTATTTCCTTAGACTGTCTTTATTTTATATAGCACTGGTATACTGATACTGACAGAGAAAGAGAAACAGAAAAAGTAAAACAGAATTGATAGGGATCAGATGTACTACTTTAGAATATTCTGAAGTGTTTCATTCTTTTTTCTTTCCTTCCTTGCTGTTTAATAATCTTTCATTATTGATACTAGGAAATTTTGTTTATTAAACTACCTTTATAATTGAAGTGTTAGGACAGTTTAGTCCAAATTAATTTCCCTGAAATGTCTGTTTTCATTTTTGTGATACTCTAGTTTCTTTTTTCTTACCTGTTGTTCATAAGTTAATTTTAAGTAATATACTTTGTTTTTCTTTAGCTTTTGAACTTTCATTTGCAGAATTCTGGGGAAAATAGGAAGCCATATTAATATATCCACTTATTTTTACTTTATGGCTAAAATTTACAGTGCTATATCAATTTTTCCATTCTTATTATTTATAAATTATCAATTTGTACACTCCTCCCCAACTTTGTGAAAAAAAAGTAGAGAGGATATAAATAGAAGGGAGAAAACAAATCAAATGGTTAAATGTTATGAAAAGTCATTAGGCTCAGTTGTTGCTAAAGTAAAGACTTGTAAAATCAAGAGGCATAAAAGGCTCACATTGAGAGAGTTATTGGATTGAATCAGCAATTCTCCATCAGGAAACATGCCTTTCATGGGAGGGACATCAGAATATGTAGGAAAGCACATGGGTATGATTTGAAAAAAGAGCACTTTAAAAAGAAATAAAGTTTTATTTTTGTAAAATAGTTTCATAATACAGACCATAAGAAGTTCAGTAGACATACCTAAGCTAGTGAGGAAACCCCAACTATACAATGATTTCTAATATGTTTGCTGAGTATGCAGTAGTAGGCTTCTTAAAAAGAGCCCAACAGATTTACTTCGGGATTTGAGGATTTGATGAGAAGACAGGAAGGATAAATTTATCAAAATATGGCATAGGTTTAAAAATTTATAAAGATGAGAAAAATTTATAAAGTCTGAGTGATTGCTGTGACCACCAACTTGACAGTACAGTCACATCTGCTTTTACCAGCTACAGTTACAGCACCCAGCTTTAAACCTCAAGCCATAAGCTATCTGGCAGGAGGGTACACTTTCCTCTTGTTTTGAAAATAATTCACCCTAAACTGTAATTCATTTAGATTATTTTCTTCACATGAGAGGTCTTTTAAGTTAAGATAGTACAGAAATGATAGCCAGAACACATTGTAAAAATCTTGGTTATACAGAAAGGAAATAGATGAATATTCGGTGATATTTAGTGTCCCACTTTTAATCACATCCTTTGGTTATCTTAAACAGTTGCATTATTTTTGTTTGTGTTTTACAGTTTTTGAGACAGTGTCCTTGAGTTCAGACTTTCTCTTCCAGAGAGCAGTTTCAATTCTCCATACTTCTTACTTGGACTCTGCATCTGAGCATGGTTTTCAGTACACTCAAGTGACTTTGGTGAAAAATGACATTTTCTTAAATGAGGTGAGGTGGTTGGTACACACTGTGTCTGTGTGTTAGTTTTATTTTAGCTTTAAAGAACAATCATTTGGGGTATATAAGCCTAGTTTTTTAAACTATCACTTTTCAGATTAGATAAAAGATCCTTGGAAACTGTCACTTGGAAGGTAATAATAATATATTCTAGAGAATAGAAAAATAATAAATTTTATTAGTCTTTTAGCAGGAGCAATCAGATGATGCATTTTTAAAAATTAACTTGCAAGGCAAAAACATGATTATAGTATTTGGTTATTTTCTCTCTATACAGTACAAAACTTTTTACCAAGAAAAAAAAGCAAGTAACTATACTCAGGAAGAACTCCAAGAAACTTACGGATTTCTTCTGTTTGAAACTGAAAGTCAGGTAAGGAAATTAGGTTTTATAAAATTAATTTTGTGAATTAAAATGAATTATCATTAAACTTAAATATTGGTGTTTTACTTATATAAATATTATAAGATTACCAGTTTATCAGCCTTTTTTGTTAGCAATGTAAATGATAGTGAAAGCTATTTAAAGAAATTTGATATCTGTAACTTTTTGTGGGTTTTTTTTTTTAGTTTTATACATTTGTAAGCTCATGGTGAGATTTGAATTAATACAGGTTTCTTAGGTATCAGTAATGACTTTTAATGGAATGAATGGATATTTCTCCATTCTGTATCATTGTTTACATAGATACTTTCTATTCTTTGTGGAGATTTTTCAAGTTTAAATGACATAGTTTTGGGGATAACATGAACATTTTCAGCATTCTGGCTACCCTGTCTCTGAAGATTAAACCTCCATATATTATTCATTGTACCTGACTTGTGGGAGAAGGAAACTGCAGGATATGTCCCAAAGATGTGTTTGGCACCTAGATACAATTTTAAAATAATTCAAATTAATACTATGGTTGAGTTGATTTTATTATTTATTTGTTAATCCTCACCCGAGAATATTTTTCCATTGATTTTTTTTTTCTTTTTTTAATAGAGTGGGAGGGAGGGAGGGAGAGAGAGAAAGAGAGAGAGGAAAGATCGATGTGACAGAGACAAATCAGTTGGTTGCTTACCACACACACTACCCCGACCAGGGCCGGGGATTGAACCTACAACCCAGATATGTGCTCTTGACTGGGAATTGAACCCAAGACCCTTTGGTCCTCAGGCCAAACCAGCTAGGGCTGTGTTGATGATTTTTAAAGAACAAAGGTTGATTTTCTTAAAGGATATTTAATATTAATATATAATATAAAGGTGATATAGTAATACCAGAAGAGTTTATTTACTTAATCATCTACTTCCAAATAAGATCTGCTATGGATTCATACTATAAAACATATTTGGGAGTAAGACATTTCCAAAGTTGTATTGAAAAAGAATCTTTAAGAGAGGATTTATCTGTGATCTTCTTTAATTTGGTTTTGTTGGTGACATTTTTGTTAACAGAAATGGTAACCTTCATGAAAATCTTTGAACTATTAACCAAACGCATTGCCTTACATAACCTTGCTTTGTGCCATAAATACATACAGTGTGAAGATTTTATATTTATTTGAAAGCCTGTAGATTATAGTGTTATTTCATTACCTCTCCCAAGACTAATAATGATAATCAAAGTACTCTTTTGTTTAAAGGCAAAGTTGGTATGTCAGCGTGGACTCTGTATTGGCAGCAGTGCTATTACCACTCTTGGTGATCCAGGAAAAGGTAAGAAAAAATAATCTCTTCTTTTACAAAATGAAGTGGGGTATAGTTTATTTAATAAGATACCCATATTAAAAGCTTTAGAATCAGAACTTTATCATATAAATAAGCTTTGAGCCTAAGACTTAAGGTTTTCCAGTAGACGTTACATGATAAGAATTTGTTTTTAAAAGTTGGTTGGTCTAGAAAAGATATTGAAGGTATCTTTTAGTGGTGAGAGATTGTTACAGTTATCAGGATTAGTGAGGTTCTCTTCTACACCATCATAATGACCAAACTTGGCAACTATGGAATGTGAAGAGTAAGAGAAAAGAAATAATCAAAGGTAAGGGTTTAATTTACACTATAGTGATATTACTGATAGAAAAGAGACACAGAAGGAGAGGAGATTGGTAGGGAGGCTGATAGAAAAGAAAGGTAATCTTATGGTTAAGAGTATCGATTAACATTAAATTTCTTTAAACTTCAGTTTTCTCATTTGTAAAATAGAACTATCTCCTAGATTGGTTGTGAGGATACAAGAGACTGTAAAGTGTTGACCACAGCACAAACCTAGTAAACCCTCAGTAAATGGACACTACTACTTTCATGAGTTAAATTTGAGAAATAACGAAATCTTCGTAAGTGTTTCTGAAAAATATCCTAGTAGTGGTAAAAATAATTGGAAAAGGAATTAGGAATAGAGATTGGGGGTCATTGTGGTGGGGGTTGGTGTTAGTTGAAGCCAAATATACTCTTATATGGGATAGTATAGAAGGAAAAGATGACAAAGAACAGAACTTTTGGATTGTTGTGGGACCAAGGGGTGGAGTAGTGGGGAAGATGTAGGGGGAGGAGTCAAGAGCAGTCCAGTGGAGGAAGAATCAGGAAGTAAGTTTACAGAAAATAGGAGGACCTAAGGGGGCGATATGTAGCTGTGTCAGGTGCCACAAAATTTAGAGATCAAGACTGAGAAAGATTATTAAGCTTCATGGCTAGATTCCTACTGAGCTTTTTTTTTTTAAATATCTTTTTTGAGATAAAATTTACATACCAGACAATTTACCCATTTAAAATCTCGTGTTTTTTAGTATATTCGCAAAATTGTGCACCCAGTAGCACAATTGATTTTAGACTGTTTTTATCACCCTGAAAAGAAATCCTGTACCTATTAGCACTAACGCCCCATTCCTCGCTACCTTTCGTCCAGACAGTCACTAATCTACATCTTGCCTAATGGTTTTGCGTATTTATTCCAAATAGTGTATATAAATGGAGTTGTGTGTGATTTTTTGTTACTTAGCTTAGTGCCTTGGGGTTCATCCATGTTGTACGTGTATCAGTACTTCATTCCCTTTTTGGCTGAATAGTATTCCATTGTGTAGTTATACCATTTTTTTGATCCATCAGTTGATGGACATTTGGTTTCCACCTTTTGGCTATTATAAAAAGTGCTACTGTGTACATTCGTGACAAGTTTTGTGTAGATGTGTGTTTTCATTTCTCTCAGAGTAGAATTGCTGGGTCATATGGTAACTCTGTATAAACCCAAAATGTTTTAAAACTTACATTCAGGTCTTCTAAAAGATGTGAAAGGGGATAAATTCATAACCTGATAACGCTTTACATAAAACCTGTTTCTTCTTGCCTTTTTCACACACACCTCCCTCCTCCTCCTCCTTTTCTTTATGAAAAATGCTAACATAGAAAAGAAGAGAGCATGGTATAATATACCCAGCATATAGGTTTAACAGATGTTTTTGCATCATTCCCTTTATTTGTTGGGGGAAAAAATTTTTTTTGCTGAAGAATTTGGAAGTAAATTACAAATAAACACCTCAGCTTACATCTCTAAAAAAAATAAGTCTATTCTTCTACAATCCCATGATATTATTGATGATGTTTGAGAGGCTGGCTTCAATAGGGTGGTGGAATAGAAGTTAGATTGTTCCTAACAAATATTCGTCCTTCTTAAACACATATACTGGGGTTGATAATAAAATTGCACTACTGCCTGTGTATGTTTTATAGTTTTGGGCTTAAGTAGAAATGGGTTGTTCTGTGTATAATGGTGATACTTTATATTAATGTAGTGTTTTATAATTTTAAAAGTCTATTGCTTTTTCTAACTCTTCTTGAGAACCCTGTGGTTTATGTATCTGTGCCCCAAACCCATCCTCCCCATTTAAGTGACATTTTCCTCAGTCACATAATTGTTATTAGTAAGTGGAAAACTTGGAACTGGAACCTAAACTTCTGATCACCAATTCATTGTTCTTTCCACTATATCGAAGTGTTCTCACCATTGTCTTACATTTCGAAAGAGAGGTTTCTGTTCAGGAATATCTCTGAAATCTGCCATCTCCTCCTCCTCCTCACTGTTGCTGCCTTGTGGAGATCCTTCTCTCCTGTCTCAACTCCTACAGTTGCTTTCTAATTGGTCTTAGTTCTAGTCTCTCCCTTCTTTAGACTCAGATTTGATCAGTCTCTTGCCTGCAGAATAAAGTCTAAGCTAATAACAAGTCCTACAAAAATCTTTACTGTACAGTTTCAAGCTTTCTTTTCAGCCTCGGCTTTTACTGCTTTTTCTCCTGCTTTCAACACCAGCCTACTGTTGTAAACAATTTATGATATTTTATACTTTTATTCTCTGTTCTCTACTTAGAATATTGTTCTTCTCTCTGTCTAAAGAACTCCTTTCCCAGGCAAATTTACTTAATTATTTCTACTTCTGTGTGTCCTCAAATGTAACATATGTCTGATAAATAATTAAGTACCTACTGTATTTTGGGCTATGATATGGCTACAGTGGTAAACAAAACAAATATAACCCCTGTTTTACTGGAATATACAGTGTAACAAAATGAGATGCTTAATGACAGGGACCTTGTTTTATTTCCCTTTCTGTCACAGCTACCTAACACAGAGCTGCCGTGTAGTAAACCTTGGTACACATTATTAAATAAGAGTATAATGTCTCCCTTATCTGCGGTTTCACTCTTCTATAGTTTCATTTACCTGCTGTTAACTGGTGTCTGAAAATGGTAAATTGGAAATTCTAGAAATAAGCATTTCATAAGTTTCAAATTGCACCATTTTCAGCAGCATGATGAAATCTTGTGCTATCCCACCCAGGACATGAATTGTCACTTTGTGCAGCATCTCTATACTGTATATGCTACCCGTCCATTAGTCACTTTGTAACCCTCTCAGTTATCACATCAACTGTTGCACTATCACATGCTTGTATTCAAGTAACCCTTATTTGACTTCATAATGGCCCCAAAGCATAAGAGTAGTGATATCAACAACTCAGATATGACAAAGAGAATCCCGAAAATGCTTCCTTTAAGTGAGAAGATGAAAATTCTTGATTTAATAATAATAATAAAAAAAAGTATGCTGAGGTTGCTAAGATCTGTGATAAGAACAAATATTCTATCTGTGAAATTGTGAAGAGAGAAAAAACAATTTGTGCTAATTTTGCTGTCACACCTCAAACTACAAAAGTTACAGCCAGTGCATATGTGCTTACTTAAGATGGAAAAGGTATTACATTTGTAGATGGGAGACATGAACAGAAAACGTGTTCCAACTGATGGCAGTGTATTGTGCCAGATAGCACTTAGCCTATTTGAAGACTTCAGCAAGGGGGACCCTCTTTTATTTTTTTACTCTTTTTTTTTAAATATGTTTTTATTAATTTTTTTGTTTTAGAGGGAAAGGGAGAGAAACATTAATTGGCTGCCTCCTGCACGCCCCCTACGGGGGTCAAGACCGCAACCTGGGGATGTACCCTGACCAGGAATCGAACCAGTGATTTCTTGGTACATAGGACAGTGCTCAATCCACTGAGCACCGGCCAGGCATAGGGACCCTCTTTTAAAATGAGTGGCACCAAATCATTTATTGCAAGTAAAAGGTGGTTATACTGATTCAAGAATAGGTTTGGACTGAAAAATATAAAAATTACTGAAGAGACTATTATGCCTGCAAAGAATCTGCCACATTTCCAAAAGAGTTGAAGAAGCTGATTAAGGAAAAAGGAAACCATCCAAAGCAAGTCTTCAGTTGTGATGAAACCGGACTCCTCTTGAAGAAGGTGCCCAATAGAACCTACATTCATAAAAATGCAAAGGAGGCACCAGGGCACAAAACATGAAAGGATAGATTAACTCTAGTATGATGTAACGCTGCAGGGCATGTGATAAAGCCGGGTATGGTGTGCAAAACAAAGAACCCACACACTTTCAAAAACAAACAAAAATTACCTGCCTGTGTTCTGGCAACATAATCAGAAAGTGTGGGTAACAGCCATCTTGTCTGTGGAATAGATCCACCAGTGCATCACAAGAAGAAGGGTGAGTGCAGTACAGACATACCTTGGAGATATTACAGGTTCATTCCAGAGAATATCTTAATAAAGCAAGTCATAAATGTTTTAGTTTCCCAGTACATAGAAAAGATATGTTTAAACTATACTGTAGTCTATTAAATGTACAGCGGCATTAGGTCTAAAAATTAATGTACATACCTTAATTTAAAAATACTTTATTGCTAAAAAATACTAACTTATCATCTGAGCCTTCAGCAAGTTGTAATCTTTTTGCTGGCGGAGGGTCTTGTCTCAGTGTGGATGGCTTCTGACTGAGCAGGATTGTGGTACTGAAGGCTGAGGTGGCTGTGGCAATTTCTCAAAATAAGACAACAGTAAAGTTTGCCACATAGATTGGTATAGGTGTCAATGTTCAATAACTGAGCAACACCAGCCAGGTTGGAATGTATCTCTTAAGAAGACTGAAAGTTGAAATTACCCCTTGATCCATGGGCAGTGGAATGGATGTTGTATTAGCAGGCATAAAAACAACATTAATCTCATTGTACATCTCCATCAGAGCTCTTGGGTGACCAGGTACATTGTCAATGAGCAGTGATAGTTTGAAAGAAGTCTTTTTTTCTGAGCAGTATATCTGAACAGTGGGCTTAAAATATTCAGTGAAATGTTGAAAACAGATGTGCTGTTTTCCAGGCTTTGTTGTTCCACTTATAGAGCACAGAGTAGATTTAGCATAATTCTTAAGGGCCACATGATTTTCAGAATGCTAAATGAGTATTAGCTTCAACTTAAAGTCACCAGCTGTATTAAAAGCTCCTAACAAGACAGTCAGCCTGCCTTTTGAAGCTTTGAAGCCAGGTATTGACTTCTGCTCTCTTCATAAAAGTCCTAGATCAGCGGTTCTCAACCTGTGGGTCGAAACCCCTTTGGGGGTCAAACGACCCTTTCGCAGGGGTCGCCTAAGACCATCGGAAAACACATATTTCCAATAGCGATTCATAACAGTAGCAAAATTACAGTTATGAAGTAGCAACGAAAATAATTTTATGGTTGAAGGTCACCACAACATGAGGAACTGTATTAAAGGGTCACGGCATTAGGAAGGTTGAGAACCACTGTCCTCGATGGCTTCTTCAGTATAAGGCTGTTTAGTTTACATTGAAAGTCTTTTGTTTAGTGTGGCCATGTTCGTTAATTATCTTTGCTAGATTTTCTGTACAACTTGCTGCAGCTTCTTCATCAGTGCTTCATGCTTCACCTTGCACTTTTATGTTATGGAGACAGCTTCTTTCCTTAAACCTCATGACCCAACCTCTGCTAGCTTCAAACTTTTCTTCTGCAGCCTCCTCACCTTCCTCAACCTTCATAGAATTGAAGAGAGGTAAGATCTTGCTCTTTATGCTTTGGCTTAAGGAAATGTGGCTGACTTGATCTTCTACCGAGACCACTAAAACTTTCTCCATAAGGCTGATTTGCTTTCTTACCTTTCGTGTGTTCACTGCAATATCGTTTTTAATTTCCTTCAAGAACTTTTCATTTGCATTAACAACTTGGCTAGTTGTTTGGTGTGAAAGGCCTAGCTTTTAGCCCACTTTTGTTTTTGACATGCTTCCTCACTAAGCTTAATTATGTCTAGCTTTTGATTTAAAGTGAGAGATGTGTGAGTGTGACTCTTCCTATCACTTGAAAACTTAGAGGCATTGTAGGGTTATTAATTGGCCTAATTTCAATGTTGTTGTGTCTCGTGGAACAGAGGAGGCCTGAGGAGAGAGGGAGAGAGATGGGGAACAGCTTGTTGGTGGAACAGTCAGAATATACACAACATCTATCAGTTAAATTCATTGTGTTATATGGGCATGTCTTATGGTACCCTAACACAATTACAATAATAACATCAGATATCACTGATCACAGATAAACATAACAAATATAATAATAAAGTTTGAAATACAGGATGGGTCAAAAGTTGGTTTACAGTTATTTGTATGGAATATAATATAGTAATAAATAAGAATAAACTGTGTACATGCACATACTCACAACTGTAAACCTCCTTTTGCCCCACCTGTTTTGTAAGAATTAACCAAAGTGAGACACAGAGACCCAAAGAGAGCAAATACTATTGGGAAAAGGGTACCAAAAGATTTTGTTCAATGGAGGGTTGCCACAAACCTTCAATTTGTAAAAACATTATCTGTGAATCACAATAAAGCAAAGAGCGATTAAAAAAAGGTGTACCTGTATTTTGAGAGAGGAGAGACCACATTTAAATACATAACTTTTATTATAGTATATTATAATTGTTCTATTATGTTATTAGTCATTGTTGTTTAATCTCTAACTATGCCTAAATTGTAAATTAAACTTTATCATAGGTATATATGTACAGGAAAAACACATTATATATAGGATATAGTACTGTCCACGGTTTCAGGCATCCACTGGGGGTCTTGAAACGTATTCCCTGTGGATGAGATGGGGCTACTATACTTACTGAGATATTTTTGCAAAAAATAACTTGAGAATCAGATGACCATAGATCTTTTCACTGGATGATTGCATGGAGAAAAAACAAACTTAGAATTCTCCAAAAATGTGATACTTTATCCCTTTCCAATTATTGGGTACCCTACTAGAAAATTGGTTGTCAGTCACATACATTCTATCTTCTAATGTTTCTATACCTTTAGAATAACTCAAGTAGTTTTTTTTTTTTAAGTAGGCAGTTTCAAAACAGTTTTTAATGTTCACTTTTATCTATCTTTTGTCTTGTTCAATTAAAGGTAGACCTACATCAGAATTGTATATGTGTAAACAATCTTTTAAAAGTGTAAATTAATCTATATTTTATGCTTTTATAGGTGTATACATTTCCAAATACTCAGACTATCTTCATGCAAGACCATGGTATCATGGAAAGTCTGGTTATATTGTAATTTTTAATCTAATTAAGGTAAAGCCTAAATGTGCTTCTGTATAATTTTTCTTTTAAAAAATAAAGGTTATCAGTCTGTGATAATGTCCTTTGCAGATATTTGCTAAGCGTAGTCCTCACCAAAGACAGATGTTCAAAATCAGAAACAGAGAATTGGTATTTCTGCTTTCCTTTAGAGACAAAGGTTTTTTTGTTGTTGTTTATTTAATAGATGATCTATGAATACGTTAAGAAAAAAACTTTGAAATACAAAAAGTACTCAATTAAGTCTTCCTCTCACTCCTGTCCCACAATACCACTTTTAGACAAGTAGCTGCTTGTAAAATAATGTGGTTATAGTTAAAAGAGATAAATTTAGAAAACACCATTTGTTGTCTGATTTAAATTGTCACAATAAGAAATCTTTATTTTCTTTATCCCTAAAACATCCAGACCTTGTTGACAGCTTCATGTGGCACCTATAACTAATGATTTCAGGCATTCTTAAATGCCCTTTAGTAGTCCAATATAAGTGAATCTTGCAATTAGAATTTTCATTCAAGTAGTTGGAAAGCGCTGATTTTAGAGGTTGGTGGGTTTTTTGAGGACATATTCTGTGGTCTTTTTGTTGTTTTTGCTTTCTAAGTTATTTGGTTATAAATCTAATGGTACTGTTTTTGGTGAGGTTTTTTTTTGGTAGAGTGTAAATGCTTTATATTTTAAAATGTGTCCCCAAGAACTGGAGGGAAAATAGCATTACATTGGCACACAATCACAGTTTTTTCTCTCTTAGTCCTCCCTCTTCTGCTCGGTGATAAGTACTGTAGTTTGCTGCAGAAAGTGTGCCTGTCAGCTCAGATAACAAACGTTTGATATTTTTATTTTATGTCAGATTGCCTTACCATTGGTTTCTTGCCCCTCTATCCCACTCTGTCTGTTGGATGTTGCTGTTCAGTTTTTGCCTACATGCTCTCAGTCCTCCTTACTGTTTATAATCTTTGGCTTCTTAGACCAAAGAATTGCCTTTGATGGTCATATAAATGAAGAGGCAGGATCTTAACAGGGGGGAAAAATGCTTTAATTAATTTAATTCTTAATTGTAAAGATAAAAATAAAAGTTGCAGTCTCATACCTCATTTTGGTATATATTTATTATATTTTTATTTTTTCTATGTCATTATGTTCAGAACAGCTTTTAAAATCATTGTATGATATGAAATAAACATTTAAAAACTTAACTGCTTTTTTTCTTCTTTTTCTGGAAGATATGTAACCCTTGATGAAGACAAGTATATAATGGGAAATACTATTGACTGTTCACTGGTCAGGGTCTGCTAAGCACTTTACTACATACTTGCTTCTTGCTGAATTACTGAGTCCTGGTGTATAGATGTATCTTGGTCTGTAATTTACAATTGATAACTTAATACTCAGTTTGGAAACACTTTTGAAATTTTAGATTTCAAAGAAATGGTTCTCTTAAATTTGAGGTGATTTGTGTATTCCTTTGGTATTGTGATAAAAGAAATGGACTTCTGACTCAGAAAATTGCCCAAATATACCTGATTTTTAAATACATTATTTGTTTTAATTTTTTTTTTCTTTATTGATTTTAGAGAGAAAGGAAGGGAGAGGGAGAGAGATAGAAACATCGATGAGAAAGAACATTGATTGGCCGCGTCCTGCATGCTCTCCCCACTGGGGATCAGGCCCGCAACATGGGCATGTGCCCTGACCAGGAATTGAACCGGCAACCTCTTGTTGCATGGGTCAGTGCTCAACCACTGAGCCACACCAGCCAGGCTTTAAATACATTTTTAAGGGTTTCATGAATAATTAAAACTATTGTTGGCCTTTTTTAAGATCCATAGTTCTGATTCTTAACACAGTTAACTACTAGTTGAAATACATCCAAATCTTCATTCAGCTACTTATAAATGAATCCTAGAGTAAGCTTATTGCTATTTGAAGACATCTGATTAGTCTTAATATTTTTATTCTAGGGAAAAGTCAAATTCGTGTCTGAGAATTACACAACTAATTATATTAGCCCATCTTCTGGCTATGATTGCCATGTGGCTGCAAATACTAACAAGGTTTCTCACAAGACAAGTCACTTTCGCGCCTTTGAACTGAGTCAGGTATAAATCATTTCTAAGATACATTTCTGCTTCTAATATGTTAAGTTTCAGGACTGGGTGGGTTGAGATCAATTTGGTCTAATGGAATTCTGTAGTGCTATCCTGATGATAATTCTTTTTCTTTCAGTATTACCTGTATGAACTTTCAGGCAGCACTATTATTGAGCGACCTAGACAGATTCATCCTTATGTAATTGTAGCTTTTCAGTACAGGGAACCTAAAAAGATGGCAGCACCAGCTCATAAAAGCATGTAAGTAATTATGTACATATTTTGTTTTACTGGATTTGTTTCCTTTGTTCTTATAAAATTGCTTCTTTTTTTTTCTTTTTTTCCCCCTAGATTTGAACTCAATGAAAATGGTAAGGAATTATTTAATTGGCTCTTTTAGTTTATTTTTTAAGTAAATGTTTTATTCATAAATAAAATAATTTTTTTCTTACCCTCATTTTTTTAAAGTTCTCATCTCCCCATGGAAAGGGAAATTAATTATTCAAGGCTGTCTGCTATGTGACATAACTCTTCGGTCCTCTTACGGTACAGTGGTTCCAACACAACTGTAAGTACTGAATTTGTGTACTTTATTACTGCTTGTATAATTTTTTAAATTCTCATTTTGAGTTTTGCTTGTTGGCACTGATATGAAATATAGTAATTGTATTTGGTGTTAGATTAGAGTGTTTTTGGTCAGATATATAGAGATCTAGGACCATGACAAAGGAGACCTAAATTTGTATCTAAATTCTGACCTTGTCCTTAAATAAATTTGTTTTATAATCTTTGACAACTCACTTTTTAAAAAATTTTAGTATGTTTTTGTTGATATTTTTTTTTTTAGAAAGAGGAAGGAAGAGAGAGAGAGAAACATCAATCAGCCGCCTCCTGCATGCCCTCTACTGGGGATTGAGCCCAAAACCCGGGCATGGGCTCTGACTGGGAGTTGAACTGGGACCTCTCAGTCCATGAGACTACTGCTCAGTCCACTGAGCCACACCGGCTGAGCAACAACTCACTTCATAAATTTTAGTATCTTAATCCATTCAGGGGAAAATGATTTGATACTAGAAGTTAGACTTTTCCAAAAAAACAAAAAACAAATTGGCTTTGCCTGCATAGCAGATTATAGCTACTTAAGTATATTATTGGGTCTTTATTAAGATTTGTAGTATCCGATTTTCTAATATTCACAATTTTTCTAGACTAGTATAGTATTAAATAGAGTAGCTGCTATGTATTTATATTATAATGAATTATAATATTTTCTTAGGAAGAACAGTGAAGGGCATTTTATAAAATCATTTTTAGCCCATTCTTAGTTTGTACCGAAAACCATTAATAGGTAGACATGGTTTAATGGAAAGATAAGATGAAAACTGGTATAACCCATAGAATAAAGTAAGTATTCTTTGAAAAAATAGATGAGAAAGAAAGGAAAGTTCTTTCTCACTATAGAGTACAACTAAGTGTAGACAGAATGATGGAATTAGAAAATCGCCATTGGCAACATCACAATAATCAGTGAGTGTTATAATAGTAGGTGAAAGTTTAATGGTGTTATCTCACAATATTTCCCCACGGCTTACTTAATAATTACAAAGGCAAAAATACAGGCTTTATAATGGAAAAAAAACTACAGATACCATCTTAACTAAGCAGTTAAATTAGCAAACAAAGCAATTTGTCAGGAATGGAATTAACATTCCTTTGCATCAGGATAACATTTTTGTGGTATTACTGCCACTCTGGTCAGGTAAACAGATATACCAGGATTGAAAGGCATTCTTCAAAATAAATGGTTTATATTATCAAAAAATATCAAAGTCGTTAAAGATAAAGACTGTTCCAGTTTGAAGGAGATTAAACAGATATACCTAAATGTGGTGTGTTGTCCTAGATAGGACCCTGGACTACAGAAATTTTTTCTTTTGTTATAAGGGACCTTCATGAGACAGTTGGCAGAATAAAGTCTGTAGGTTAATTAATTGTATTATACCATTGTTAATTTTTTGATTTTGTTGTTTTGTGGTTGTATAAGGAAATATCCTTTTTAAAGAACACATAGAGAGAAGTATTTAGGAGAAAAGAGGGCATCTATAAGTTTGTAACTATTTCAAAATGAGTTTTAAAGAAGGAAAATTAATTCAAGTGAAGTGATGCAAAAAGTCTGAATGTAATTCAATCTGTGACATTGCATGGTAGGCAGTACAGTATTATCAAAAGTTTTCAACCCTTACATAGCAAATTCTCATTACGGTATGCATAATTCTTCCATACATCTAGATATTTTGGTTATACCAAAAATACATGTATTCAGAAAATGTGAACATACTTGTAGACCATGGTTTATGGGGTCATGTATTTGAAAAGCTATAATATTTATAAATATACATATTATGTGACCTGGAGTTTACCAATTTAAGGATTTTTTTTGTGTTTACAATATTTTTGTTGGCATTTATATTAGAAAACCAAATATTATATATGAAGCTGTAGGTAATTTCATTGTTTACTATATTACATGATATTGTTTTGTTTTTTAGACCACATGAACTAGATTTTAAGTATATAATGAAAGTGTCCTCTTTGAAAAAAAGTCTACCAGAAGCTGCCTTTAGAAAACAGAATTATTTGGAGCAAAAAGGTCTGTGTCAAATGTAATGGTACACTTTATGTCCTGTGCTTTGTTCCAGTTATTTCCCCCTCTTACACACTTTTGTTTTCCCTTAAGTGATTCTTAAAAGGATCTTTTATGAAAGTTGCAGTTACTATGTGATTCAGTTCCTTGGAGGCCAACTAGAAACTATGAAAGGGAGTTTCATCTAAGATTGCAAAGTCTAGTTTTAATATAGAATACTAAGGATTTAAGTAAACAGATATGCTTACAGATAGTTAAAAACTCATAACCATTTATTTTCAGAGCAGAGTTTTTGTGGTTTTTATTTGTGTGTGTACTTTTTATTGTTATTAAACTTATTGGGGTGACATTGGTTATTAAGATTATATAAGTTTCAAGTGTACTACATTATAATGCATTGTCTATATATTGCATTATGTGCTCATCACCCAAAGTTTAGTTATATACTTCTAAATGAAGAGGGAAAAGCAGAAAACTTGAGAAGGAAATTTCTCTGTCATTTAGATTAATTCATGGAACATTGATGTTTATATTATTTATATAGTGTTTATTTACCTTGTTATGGTAATGTCAGTATAAATGAAAGCATTGTTTTCAAATAGTTTATACAGTAACTTTTTATTAAGGTGTTTTATAACCAAGAACATTGAATGATAATTTTTTAAAATTGTATTCTTAGTTTTTCTTTTGACTTTTTATTATATAAAATGAATACATTTGTTATTTAAAAACTGTGATAGCATTTTAAAATAAGAAATATTCTGTTTTCCTGATTTTTGTCCAGTCTGTTGCCAAGATATGTGCTTCAATATGTATGATGTGGAACTATCAAACAAACAAGGGGAAAAAATAGATAAACTAACCGAAGTCATTAAAAATAAGCAATTGGTAAGAATCATCAATTTAAAATAATTACTTTTTCCTTAAATATTTATTGATAGTTTTTCATATTCTTTTTTGTTGTGTTTGTTTTATGACAAAAGAATTGATTAGATCCCTAGTGTTTTTGCATTAATCAGAGGACCACTTGTGAGATAGTTCTTTAAAAATGACCTGTGTCAATTCATAGGTTTATGAAGGGAAAAAAATGTTGCTGCTTCTACTGTTTTCATAGTGTAGAAAGTAAGACTCTACTGAGAAATAGATAACGATCCAAAGACTTCTGTTCGTTATGTTAATCAGGGTTCCTCAGTGTGAGGGTAGGAATAGATGGTGACTCTATATTGAGTGATTCCTAACCAACCCAGAGGAGATGGTGTGGGTGTAGGACAGTGATCAAACAAGTTCTGAGCCCTTTAGCTACATGATGGACCGTCCCCATAGTAGGTAGCAAGAAATCAATAAATTAAAATAGAACATGTATAGCAGCTTTGAAGGTAAGTTATCTTAGGGTAATGTCAATTAACATACTTAAGTTGCATGTAACAGAAACCCAAACTGGTTTAAACAATAAAAGGATTTAATAGGCTTACCTTTTAATTCTAGGTAATAAGAGAGAGGGAGGGAGGGGGAGGGAGGGAGGGGGGGAGGGATCAGGTGGAGAAGAGTGGAGGGGAGAGAGATCTATACATCTTTCATTCAGTAACTGCAAAGGACATGGACTATGCTAATTAGCTCAGACCATTCAGAGTCTCCCTTCCAGAATTGGGTATGAGTTTAGTCCCACTCAGTCTACAGTGGTGCTCCACAGCAAAGAACTGTCTCTCTGTAGTAAGGAGCTAGAATGTGCGACATTGGGTGATGAGTGGATAACTAATATCTACTGTAGGATTGTAGGCTGATTTTTGAAGTACCATAGTCCATTTTATATTTGGAAATTAAAAGGAATAAAGTTCAAAGATACTTTCAGAAAATGAATTAGGGACTACTTGTGAGTGTTTATAGTATTGAAAATAATAGAGACTTGGTGCAGAACTTGGCTTTGGTTGACACCTGTTTAGTGATAATAATTAGTTATAGGAATTACATATCACTTAAGGTCCTTTCTCCTCACTGCTCCATTCTTTCCTTGCTTCATATATTAAGAATAATTATTACATTTACTAACTTCTTTGAAGACAGGTATCATGTCTTAAGCATCTTTGACACTGTAGTGCCTGGTTGAGCAATAAATGTCCCTTGAATAAACTATATGTGGGCTTGTAGCTAGAATACTGAACTTCAGGAACAGTACAGAGCAAGGTCTCTTTTTAAAAAGGTGTTAAGGACATGTATGGCTAGATATTTTCTGTGTATAAATATCTAGAAGTACATATTTCAAAGATTCTATGATTTCTCCCCACAAAGGTTGAAATAAGAACTTCATGTAGCCCTTTCAGCACAATTTGAGAAACTAAAAATTTAAATTGCATATTTCTGTTTCCTTTGCACTTTTTTTTTGGCAGATAGAAATGTATGGTTTTAAGTAAATGGGAATTTTACTTTTATCTACTTTACAAAACTAAAATGCAGAACAATGTAGAGGCTAATTATTTGTCACTTTTACTTTTTTACATCAATAGAAAATTAAGAACTATACCTGTTTGCAATTTAAACTATGGGCATATATAATTATTGGTATATTTTATTCAGTAATTCTTGAGTGCTTGCTATGTGTCAGAAGCAAAAATAGAAAGTAGTCCCTGCCATCAAGGAACTTAAAAGACTGTGGAGAAGCAAAAATGTAAACGATCAAATACTTAGGGGCTATAATAGAAAGGTATGGAAACTCACAATAGTGATTGTTCCTGTAAGTGAACTCTTAGTGTCATACTTAGTTCTAATACAATAATTAGAAAAGAAGTCTTTTTTTATACTTGAATGTTTATTGATTAATTTATCAATATGCCATATTTTTAGGCTGCTTACCTATCAATTTTTAAAATAGAATGCTTTATCACTTTATGAAACAGTGTAATTTTAGTTGTCTTTTTTTGTTTTGTTTTTACTGATAAATTATTGTATGTGCATTGGGTTTTATCTTTGTTATAGGTATATAGCTTTAGAAATGGTGAATAATGGAAAGGAAGAACTGTCATTTTTATGATTTAGAATGATAGCTTTTAGATAACTTCCACTGACCATGGACAGAATTTTCCAATTTGCTGTACACATTAAAGGGTTTTTTTGTTTGGGGGTTTGTTTTGTTGTTATTTTGGGTATTTTTGTTTTTTGAGCTCAAGATTCTACTGAAGGCTAATGGAGAAGAAAAAAGAAAAAATACTATTTTCATCTGCATTTTTTTTTTTCTTTATTGATTTTTGAGAGCGAGGAAGGGAGAGGGAGAGAGAGATAGAAACATTGATGAGAGAACATTGATTGGCTGCCTCTTCATGCCCCCCACTGGGGATGTAGCCCACAACCTGGGCATGTGCCCTGACTGGGAATCGAACTGGCGACCTCTTGGTGCATGGGTCAACACTCAATCACTGAGCCACACTGGCCGGGCTCATCTGCATTTTTTTATTGCCACAAGAGCTAATTACTAAATTTTCTATCTCTTAGGATGCTATAGAAAGTATTTTATTAGGCAGAATCTTCCTAGTCTTTCTAGTTCTGGGATTCTGTGACAAGTTGTAAACATGAGCTTAAGATGCTAATTCACCTTGAATTTGTAGTGGCTAACTGTTAATAAATTGACTATTTAGGCAGCAGTATGAAATATCAAGTATCTCAATGGAAAAAATGAAATGTCGTGTGTGTGTGTGTGTGTGTGTGTGTGTGTGTGTGTGTGTGTTACATGTCCCTAGCGGGAACTGAACCCAGGACTCTCTGGTCCTCAGGCCAACGCTCAACCACTGAGCCAAACTGGCCAGGGCTGAAATGTCTTTTCTGATGGATTTGTTATGTAGCTGAACAATATCCTAAAACTAACCCTTGATGTTCTAGTTATTATATGTAGCCCTAACAGGGCCAAGATTATTTGAGTGCTAAGAAACTTAACAGTTTCTGATACTGGGGTCAGAATTCTCCTGATTCCCATTAACATTAACATTTCTATCTATTTATTTGCTTTTCATGAGCTCAAAATTTACTGAATAGTAGCATGGTAGAAGGAGGAAAGGAATGGAATCTTCTTTCATTTTTTTTTTTTTTTTTTTTTTTTATGTTGAAGGCACTCATCAAATGCTTAGAAGATCAGGAGGTTTTCATTTTATTTACATCATCAGCCTTAATATCAGAAACAAGTAAGGAGAACTTTTCTAAAAACTATTTTGTTTTTGTATGTTTACTTTTGTTTTATAAGGTCAGCAGCCTAACTTTTCTGATTCTCATTCTGTATAGATTTTGGAGATGAGCAGATGGCTCTACATGGATTACATTTATTCCATTCATCTCAGTCATCAGGTAAGTACACAGTGACTTCCAGTTTACTAAATCTGTTGTATATTTTTTCATCCTCATCTTACTTATCTTCCTTAACCTCTCAATCCTGGTAACTAGTTTATTCTTTTTTGTTTGTTTTTTGTTAATCCTCACCAGAGGATATTTTTCCATTGGTTTTTTTTTCTTTTCTTTTTTTCTTTTTTAGAGAGACTGGGAGGGAGGGAAAGAGAGGGGGAAACATCAATGTGAGAGACACATCAATTGGCTGCCTCCCACACGACCCCAGCCGGGGCTGGGGATCAAACCTGCAACCTAGGTATATGCCCGTGACCAGAATTGAACCCGAGACCCCTCAATCTGAGGGTTGACACTCTAACTGCTGAGCCAAACTGTCCAGGGCTAATTTATTCTTTTAAATAACTCTTCCTTTAATTTCTTTGGTCAATTCTTCTTTGTCCCCTTTGCAGGTTTGGCTTTTCCTCTGAGCTTTACACCCAGACATCCACCTATCTATTGACTTTTTCAGTTACGATGTCTCAGATGTTCCTCAGGTTCAGCATTTGTAAAACTGAATATTTGGTATTTAACAATAATAGCCAGGAGAATAATATTGTAGTGACTGTATGGTGACAGATGGTTACGAGACTTAATGGTGATTGCTTTGTAAGGAATTTTTTTTTTTTTTTTATCCTCACCCGAGGACATTTTTTTCCATTTTTTTTTGTTCAGATAGAATGGGAGGGAGAGAGAGAGAGAAACATCGACGTGAGAGGGACACATTGAGTGGTTGCCACCCACACAACCCAACCAGGGCCGGGGACAAACTGCAACCGAGGTACATGCCCTTAGTGGGAACCGAACCCGGGTCTCTCTGGACCGCAGGCCGACGCTCTAACCGCTGAGCCAAACCGGCCAGGGCGCTTTGTAAGGAATATAAATGTTGAATCACCATGTTTTGTATCTGAAACTAGTATTATATAACATATAAACTAAAAGTAAATTTAAAAAATAAACAAAAATTCATCTTAAAAAACCAGCAATACCTAGGAAATGCTTTTTTAAAAAAATTATTTTTCTTTATTGATTTTAGAGGGAGAGGAAAGGAGGAGAGAGAGAAGGTATCGATGAGAAAGAACATCGATTGGCTACCTCCTGCATGCCCCCCACTGGGGATTGGGCCCACAACCTGGGCATGTGTCCTGACCAGGAATCGAACTGGTGATCTCTTGGTGCATGGGTCAATGCTCAACCACTAAGCCACACTGGCCAGGCACTAGGAGATACTTTTATCATAGTCTACCAAGTAAGTAGGACTCAAAGTTTTCACAGATGCAGTTTTCTGTCTGGACTCCTTGTCTCTTTCCCTTTTATTGGGTTGTATTTACCCCCATAGGGCAAAAAATATTACTCATACAGTATATAAATAAATATACAGTATATCTGTGATATTAAAATTTTAGAAGGCAGTTAGGAAATGAAGTTTAGGAGGGCCCTTGGTGTGTGAGAGATAATGAATAAAATCAGAAGCTCTGACCTAGTCTGGTCTCTTATTCATATCTGTCAGGTATAAGTTTAAATATCACTTTATTGATTCCTGTCACCACTCTGACCTCAGTGAGGACCCTAGGCTTATCATCATTGAATTTAAATATTTATTTGTATATGACTTAATGCCTGCCTTATATTCCACTGTATCCCTACTGCCTAGCAGTGCCAAGCACATAAAAAATAATATTTGCTGCCCAGCCGGTGTGGCTCAGTGGATTGAGCATCGTCCCATGGACTGAGAGGTCCCAGTTTGATTCCGGGTCAGGGTACATGTCCAGATTTAAAAATTTATATTAATAAAATGTCATGTTTTTTTTCTATTTACATTTTTTTTTTCTTTATTGAGTTTAGAGAGGAAGGAAGAGGGAGAGAGAAATGGAAACATCCATGAAGGAGAACATCGATTGGCGTGCCTCCTGCATGCCCCCCACTGGGGATCGGGCCCACAACCTGGGCATGTGTCCTGACCAGGAATCAAACCGGTGACCTATTGGTGCATGGGTCAACGTTCAACCACTGAGCTACACTGGCCGGATCATTCTCTGGCATGAGAAAGCAGTCAAACAAGATGGTTTTAAAACAAATTAACATATTCACCCCATAACAAATGCACACTTGTCTCTGTTTTGTTCGTTGTACCATTTTTTGTCAGACGTTACATCCCTAGTGGGGGCTGTGCAGGAGGCAGCCGATCGATGTCTCTCTCTCTCACATCAATGTTTTTCTATCTCTCTCTCTCTCTCTCTCTCCCTCCCTTTCTCTCAATCTAAAAAAAAATCAATAAAACTTTTTTTTTAATGTTTGCTAAACAAGTAAAGTAAATGGTCATTTCTTTTTGTCATATGAGGAAATTTTCTTCCTCATTTTATAATCATACTGTATGTGTTTAAACATAAAATTGTGTGTAACATTTATAAAGCTGTAACCAATACAAAAATATTTTAAAAATTGATTTCTTAAAAGTGTATTCACTACTCAAAGCAGAGAACTGCACTCTCTTGAGCATCACTTCCTTGGACTAAGCAAAACATTACCAATATAACAACATAATGGTAATAGCTATTTGCATTTTTCAAGCATTTACTATGTCAGGTATTTGTGCTAGGTATCAGTTACTGATTTAGCAGCCCTTAAAATAGGTATTCTTATTTTGACTATTTCAAACATGAGGAAACTGAGATTTAAGCCAAACACCTAACTCTCAAACTGCCTTTTAATTCCTATCCCATTCTGCTCTCTTCTTCTGTCAGAGCTCTGACTTCATTCTTATTTTTAAATGTAAATTACCACTCAAATAAGAAACATTAGTGCCTGTTCCATTGGTGTTGAACAGCACAGGATTTGTTTGAATGAACATTGGAGTGTTGTGTTATACTGTATATACCTCCTCCTCTAGTTCATTAAGACATTTTCTATGTATGGTCTTTCAAAGGGTACAGGCTGTGTTATTTGTTTTAAATAGGTAGATATTTTGCTTAGCAGACTTCAAAAAGTTCTTTTTAATAGATTTTATAATAGCCTAGCCTATTACAGATCATTCTGGGTTCATCCTTTCTAAATTCCTGAAATAATGATGTTTTCTGGATAAATACTACTTTAGTGTGAATTGTTAGTAGTACATAAGAACCATTTTATATTTTATTTTTTCTTCATTTACTGCTTTTTAGGTTTTTTGGTTTTTTTTTATATATTTTTTTTTCTTTATTGATTTTAGAGAGATAGGAAGGGAGAGGGAGAGAGAGATAGAAACATTGATGAGAAGAAACATCGATTGGTTGCCTCCTGCATGCCCCTCACTGGGAATTGGGCCCACAGCCTGGGCATGTGCCCTGACTGGGAATCGAACGGGCGACCTCTTGGTGCATGGGTCGATGCTCAACCACTGAGCCACACCGACGGGGCTCTTTAGGTTTTTGTTTTGTTTGTTTTTATTCCTCACCCAAGGATATTTTTCTACTTATTATGAGATGGAGTGGGAGGGAGGGAGGGAGAGAGAGAGAGTGACAGAGAGAAACATCGATATGATAGAGCCACATCAACTGGTTGCTAACTGCATGACCCCACCAGGGCCAGGGATGAGCCACAACGTGCCCTTAACTGGAGTCAAACCTGCGACTCATTGGTCCTCTGGCCAATGCTCTAACCACTGAGCAAAACCAGCCAGGCCCACTTACTACTTTTTAAGTGAAACTGCAAAGAATCAATTTTTAATGTCTATCCACATTTTTTGTTTCTTTATATTTGTCTTTCTCTTCCTTGTCCTAATACCTGCCCGAGTGCAAATGTATTTAGCTAGGACTAAAACTTGATGTTTTCTTAATTTTACAGTTACTTTTTCTTTATAAAGAATGTAATTCGTGCCTGGCCAGTGTGGCTTAGTAATTGAGCATCAACTCATGCACCAAGAGGTTGCGGGTTCTATTCCTGGTCAGGAAACATGCCCAAGTTGTGGGCCCAGTCCCCAGTGTGGTATGTGTATGGGGCGGTCACTTGATGTTCTCTCTCATCGATATTTCTACCTTTCTCTCTTTCTCCTTTCCTCTCTCTCTGTAAAAATAAATAAAGAAAAAAACAATTTTTTTTAATGTAATTCATACTTCAGTTTAGTAGGTATCAGAAGTCTTCGTTATCTGTGGATTTTTATTATTGATTACTCTTAAATTTTCTAGGATTTTATTACCCACTTCTCAGTGGTCTGACTGATCACTCTTACATTATTAAATTATTATTGATAACTTAAATTTTTTAATCTATTTTCCTCTTTTTTTCCTTTGGGTTACTAATTTGCTAAAAAAATTAGCATTTCAGCCAAAGAGTTAGCTAGGAAGAGGAAGTGAAATACAAACTAGTCAGTTTAGTTTACTTAATTTTTTAAAAAACTTACTTGATAGACAAGGTGATGAAATTTGGGGCTTACTTAAGGGTTTTACTTTTTTTCAGTTCAGTTGGTTAGCATCGTAATTTCTTTAAATCATTTAAACAGCCCTGGCTGGGTAGCTCAGTTGGTTAGCGTGTCGTCCCAATATGCCAAGGTTTCGGGTTCAATCCCAGTAACGGCACTAGAATCAACCAATGAATGCCTAAATAAGTGGGAAAACATATCGAGGTTTCTTTCTCTCCTCTCTCTCTCCCTGAAAATCAATACTTAAAAAAAAAAAAAAAAAAGAATTTGAAGTTACATAAGGTAGAGATAGAATAAGACATTTTAAAAGCAGAAAATGTTTTATTCCCTGGCCAGTTTGGCTCAGTGGTTAGAGCATCGGACCATGGTCCAGAGAGACCCAGGTTTGGTTCCCACTGAGGGCACATACCTCAGTTCGTCCCTGGCCTGGTTGGGGTTGTGCGGGAGGCAGCCACTCGATGTGTTCCTTTCACGTCAATGTTTCTCTCTCTGTCTCTCTCTTCCTTTCTTTCCCTCCCACTGTCTGAGCAAAAATGAAAAAATGTCCTCGGGTGAGGATAAAAATAAATAAATAAAAATAAAAGCAGAAAATGTTAATTAAAAAATAGAAAAGCAGATCTGCCAACTCTAAACACTACTGCTATTGCTTTGATGGCATATTAAGCTCATGCCGAGCTCTTGGTCAGATGAGATGGATCTGGAGGCAGGTCATCCTTCATTCTAACCTGGTGATTGCATTTGAATGATTCTTTTTCTGCATTTTCTCTCTTTCTCCCCCCCCCCCCCCATGTGATTACATATGTATGGAGATACATATATTCATTAAATGTACCCATAAGGCTTTTATTTTCCATTTAGATTTCTGTTTAAACACTACACTGTGTTATATTTAACCATCCAAAAATTTTGTAATCTAAAGTATTTTTTTCTGTATGTTTATGACAAAAATTTTATATTTTTAATGTATGTACATATATTTTAGGGCTGAAAGACTTGAAAGTTGAAGATGACATGTTATTTAAGGTGATACCTATTTTACCTGCCCTTAATTGTGCCCTGCTAGAAGCAAAGAAATCATTTACTGAAGAAGGAATCTGTCTAAATACATTAGTAAAGCATAATTTTCAAGAATCGTACAAGATGGAGAAAGGTCTGTTGACAACTTCTCAGGATGGAATGAAAGAGACTGCATTCTTTGGCAAACTGTCCAATGGTTTTGACTTGGTTCCTCCAGCTGAAAAGTGCCCTTTACAGTCTTTAAATCAGTTGAAGTCTTATTTTTCAGATCCTAGTGGATACATTTTGGAAGTATCTACGGTGTTAGATTTATTAGCAGAGCGTCCTCAGTCTCCTTGTATTTCAGATGGAATTTGTGATGCTGGATTTTCTTTAGTTATCACTCCAGATCCTGAATTTCTTGACTCAGAGGCAGAAGTAAGAAGAGAAACTGAAACAAAAAAGAATTCTGAAGAAATGTTTAAAGCTAGGAAGAGAACTATAGTTCCATTAAATGCAGCATCAAATCTAAGAGTTCAGCCAAAGAGAAAGGCTAGCATGCCACCTATGGTGCAGAGTAAAAGAATGAACTTATGCCGTCCCTTTCCCAAAAGAACTGCTGGAGCAAACAGGGGTTCAGCTCCTCCAGCTACTCTCAAACTAGTTAAAGGACAGTTTCCTCAGAAAAGAAAACGAGGTAAGCACGATTTTGGGGGATTATTAAATGAGGAGTTAGTAATAACTGTTATGTTCTAATACTGTGCCTGTCTGATCACTGAACTGCAGTTATGCAGTATCAGAAGTTAGAAATGCCAATATTTCTACCCAGGTGATTTGTCTACTGCTTAAGTTTGAGAAGCATTAAGGTAGATGACAGATGAATATAAATAGGGAGCCTTGGCCGGTTTGGCTCAGCTGTTAGAGCGTTGGGACGCGGACCAGAGAGTCCTGGGTTTGGTTTCCGCTAAGGTCACCTATCTTGGTTGCAGTTTGTCCCCGGCCCTGGCTGGGGTCGTGTGGGTAGCAGCCAGTCAATGTGTCGCTGTCATGTCAATGTTTCTCTCTCTCCCCCTCTCTTTCCCTCCCGCTCTATCTGAAGATAAATGCAAAAAATGTCCTCAACTGAGGATAAAAAAATTTTTTTTAAACAATAAATAAAATAAATAGGGAAAACTAAAATATCTTCTCAAAAGCCCACCTATCAGAAGTTATATTTCACTAAAACTACTCAAGCTGTCAGTTATTTATGTACTATTCTAAAAGGATAGTTATCTAGTTCTGAGCTATCCTCAGACAAATATGACTGTGGAGAAAGAGGATCTTCTAAAATCAAGCCCTGGCCTGTTTGGCTCAGCCGTTGGAGCATCCACCTGCAATCCTGAGAGACCCGGGTTCGGTTCCCGCTAAGGGCGTGTACCTCGGTTGCAGTTTGTCCCCGGCCCTGGTTGGTTGTGCGGGTGGCAGCCACTCGATGTGTTCCTTTCACATCGATGTTTCTCTCTCTCTCTCTGTTCCTCTCTCTCCCTCCCACTCTACCTGAACAAAAAATGGAAAAATGTCCTCGGGTGAGGATAAAAAAATAAAAAAAGCCCTGGCCAGTTTGGCTCAGCGGTTGGAGCGTTGGCCTGCGGACCAGAGAGTCCTGGGTTCAGTTCCCGCTAGGGGCATGTACCAAAAAACAAAAACAAATAAAATCAGGCATACCCTCGTCCTGGCCGGGTAGCTCAGTTGTTACAGCATCGTCCCCTTATGTCAAGATTGCAGTTCCATCCTTAATCAGGGCACATATAAGAATCAACCAGTGAATGTATCAGTAAGTGGAACAACAAATTAATGTTTCTCAAATCAGTAAATTAAAAAATATTTTTAATTGCGCATACCAGGTACCAGCAAAAAGTAATAATCAATATCCTGAATATGTATAAAGAGGGAGAAAAAAATACCTGGAATCTCCAAAACTCAGACAGTCTGGGGTAGAATTTCTAAAACTTTATGTGTGTCAGAGGTTTTTTTGTTTGTTTTTTTTATCCTCACCCGAGGACATTTTTCCATTTTTTGTTCAGGTGGAGTGTGAGGGAGAGAGAGAGAGAAACATCGACGTGAAAGGGACACTTCGAGTGGCTGCCACCCACACGACCCAACCAGGGCCGGGGACAAACTGCAACCGTGGTACATGCTCTTAGCGGGAACCGAACCTGGGTCTCTCTGGACCGCAGGTCGGTGTGTCAGAGTTTTAAAAATGGTCATCTGGATCCTGCCATAGATCTATTGAAACAGAATGTCCAGTGGCCTGAGAACATATATATTGAAACAGTTCCACAAATGGTTTTGTTGCCCCCTGGAAATTGAATGATAATCAGAGTCTAGAGCCATTTAGTCTGTATTTAAATGCACTTTAGTGAACACAGCACAACAAACAACATGATTTTGCCTTAGAGCCAACTCAGATTATAGGTAGTGTATCTTGTTGAAAAGTAGTGAGCTATATGACTCCACAGAGAAGGGGTCAGGTATATAGCCAAAGGGCTTCTCAAGCAGTTGTCTCTGGCTACATCACACGCTGTTGGCAGTGTGACTGAGAACATATGACCTTCAAAGCTGAAACTACATACTGTCTGAACCTTCACAAAAAAGGTATGCCAACCCTATCTACAGTATTTTGAGTCTGGAAATTTGGTGCTTAAGAAATATCAGGGATATGCAGAGCCCCAGGATCCAGATGATTAAGGTTTTACCCTATGGTTAAACAAATAATTTATTTTGGCCTGTTAACAGTTTGAGAAAATGGTGTATGTGTGTGTATTTAGGAGCATGCTGGAAAGTATGGTAATAGAAAACAGTGAATCTCAGACTGTACAACTACTTACAGATAAATTCCAGGCCAATTCCATATTGAGTTTCTGCTCTGTGTGAACCAATTTACTTGAAGATATTAATTAAATAAATTACCTGTAATTCAACATACATGTTTTCTGTTTGTCAAATGTTTTAAATTTTATTCACTCTAAGAAATGTGTTTTATTTTGTAGTCCAGTACACACAAATTCACACATAACTGAAACAAAAATTTCTAGACATTTATTCTAATTATGTGTAATACAATCTGATATTTTCTATTCCATTCTGTTTCATTTAAGAAAGAATTCTGGTGCAACCCATTAAATTTATTTTATAATCCATCAATGGATGCAGGTTGAGAAGCATGGCATTGAGTGACACAAATAAGCAGAAGTCCCTGCAGGACCATCTTGTTATTTCATGTGTTAGTTTTTCCTCCCAGGACCCTGGGTTGTGAGAGATCTTCCCTCCCTGTTTGTGCAGATGTTTAAAACTTTCCCCTAGGTCATCTCACCTTATTTACTTTCTCTTGGTTTAGTTTTAACTGTTTTGTTGCTTGATTTATATTCTTAATGTGTTTATATTCCTTTTTTATGCTAAAAATGTATAACTGAATGAGAAGCCTTATTCCTTAAAAAAATATATGCTGCTTTATTATGTGTAATAGTTTAGTAGTGGGGGAAATAATGAGACCCAAGGACATTTACATTAAGAGATTCTAAAGCTTTTCTAAAACCACTCCTTTCTCTAAACTCCAAAAAGAATGAAATGAATTGATCTCTTCTCTACATTTCACCAGCAATCATCCCAATTTCTTAAACTATTTAGTATCATGTTTTCTGTTCTCAATTAGAAACAATGTTTTTTGTATAATGTAATTTAAAAATGTTTGCCAATATTTATATGTGTGATTATTTTTTTTTCTTTATTGATTTGAGAGAGAGGAAGGGAGAGGGAGAGAGAGATAGAAACATTGATGAGAGAGAACATCAACTGGCCGCCTCCTGCATGCCCCCCACTGGGGATGGGGCCCACAACCTGGGCATGTGCCCTGACCGGGAATCGAACCGGCGACCTCTTGGTGCAGGGTCAATGCTCAACCACTGAGCCACACCAGCCGGGCTGTGTGATTATTTTATATGATACCTTTGGGGCTGAATTTTTTTGGTGGTAAGCAACTGAAATGATATAAAATCAATGGATAAAATATACTAGTAAGTGATCAAAGGGAGCACTTATGACTATATTTTTTTAACTCTTAAAAATGGAAATACTTTGTATTGTGTTATATAAGCAGGTAGTCACTAATTTTGTTTTCCTCTTGTGCCTCCATTTTTAGCTATTTCCTTCCATGTGTGAAGCAAAGCTGAGTATTTTATAAGAGAGATAAGCAGTTATAATAGATTTGTAGGAAATGAAATCAGGTGGAATCTGTCCAGTGTACCTTTTTCAGTCTTGTCTTAAAAAATGAGTTTTGAGGATGGTATTAAGACTTAGATATTTAGGAGTACTAAAATGAAATATATAAGATGACATTTAATGAATATACAATCTCTTTTATGCAGTGTGATTATAGTTTTAACCACATCACCTTATAGGGGCTGTGTTGCTTTTGTGTACAATGAATTATCCATCTCCCAGTGCTATCAGCTATTATATTCAGCCTTACCTGCCACATTAGGAAAGATTATGGAGATTTTTAGAAAAATTAAATCATGCCTTGTTTTGATAAAATTACTACTCTGATATTTTTCTTCTTCACCTGATAAGAATATAGACCAACACTTAGCAAGTTCATATTTTTATATTTATATGAGAACTTTAAACTCTTGCTTTGTTTAAAAAAACATACATATATATATTTTTTTAATCCTCACCCGAGGACATTTCTCCATTTTTTGTTCAGGTAGAGTGGGAGGGAGAGAGAGAAACATCGATGTGAAAGGGACACATCGAGTGGCTGCCACCTGCACAATCAACCAGGGCCGGGGACAAACTGCAACCGAGGTACACGCCCTTAGCGGGAACCGAACCCGGGTCTCTCTGGACCGCAGGCCGACGCTCCAACCGCTGAGCCAAACCGGCCAGGGCGAAAAAAACATTTTTTAATTAAATACCCAAAATTTTAGGTTATTTCCCATTACTAAAGTTATGCCCTAAAAAATATTTAAAAATAAAAGGAAAAGCTATGCTGATAAATATTTGAGCCCCCTACCCCTTTAAAAAAAATGGTGTCTTTTCTATATAAGGTGCTGAAGTACTGACTGCACAGTTTGTACAGACAACCAAATTGGATAGGAAAAAACAAGAATCTCCTATTTCTAAAGATGTTCCAGTTGCAACGAATGCTAAAAGAGCAAGGAAACAAGAGAAATCTCCAGTCAAGACTATTCCCAGGGTTAAGCCACCTGTGAAGAAATCTCCACAAAAACAGAGGGTAAATATAGTAAAAGGCAATCAGAATCACAGAATCAGAAAACAGCCACAACCTGGTAAGAAATACTCTTCCTGTAAATTTAAATAACACATACAGAGTAATCAAGGTTGCAAGATAGTGTGTTGAAATAAGAACTGTTAAAAATCTATCAACAATTCTTGCTATATTCTTTAATTCAGACAGTAACAGGACTAAGTAACTTGATTTCCTATCGTAAATAAATTGCAAAGGATTCAGATATTGCAGAACAGACCTACTTTCTAGTTTGCATAAAGCCTAAACGTGAGCTGTCTACAAGAGTCATAACTGGCCTTTTTATGACTAAATGCACAACCAAATAGTATCTGGCACTATTTTGGGGGACCATACTTGGTTATAAAAAGTAAGCTATAAACTTCATTTTTCCAACTGGAATTGTGAAGAGATTGTTCAAAATAGTAATCCAGAATCCTGTATTTGGTTTTTAAAGATACTACATTTATTTGGAAAGCAGTTTTACTTTCCTAATTTTGCTAAGTGAATAATGAAGCTTAGTTATATGAACAGACAGCTGACTGCTTTAGTTCTATGTTTCAAACTACTAGACATATACCCTTTTTACTTCAAAGTTCATTTTCTCTGCAGACTTTAACTCTGAAACGGAACACACACCAGCTCATCTCCAAGTCCATATTCCTTCTTACCTTTCCTCTTTCTGTATATAGTGCAGTTCTTCCAATCTGCAAAATTGATACATTTTACTTTATCTCCGGTATTGAGTCTTATTGTATTGTATGGGTTTTTTAAATTTCTTTTAACAAAGACTTCATTTCTTCATACCTTTATATTTCTATCAATTTTCTGTCTAATCTCCCTTCTCCCTTAATGTATTTTTAACTTTTCAAAAAAATCTTATATTTGGTGGGATTTTGGAGGAAAAAACTGATTTTGTTGGGATATTATAGGTGAACTTGATTTTTTTTCTAAGTTTTTTTTAAAAATACTGTTTGATGACTGAATATTTTTTAAAAGCTCATATTGTAAACCTCATACTATTGCAATTTTGGCATCCATACCAAAAACTCTGCTTGTCTCTTAAGGCTTCTCTCTCAATGTGGTCTTACCCCTTAAGCCGTTATTTCTCTCCTGCTCTTTCCTAACATGTCCCTTTCCTGCCAGTGCCTGCCCTCAGGCATCACACCTCTTTTCACTCCTGTGTCCTTCCCCTCTACCAGTCCAGATTTCCTCCTGCTCTGATCTTCCGATCTCTCACTTTTCTCTCATTTCCTTTTGGGTTTTTGAGAACATTATGGAATTAAATTTATACCGTTTTCCAGTCCTTTGATGCGTCCTGATCCTGTCTCTACAGTTAGTTCATAAATGAGAATAGGTACATACATAATACCTATGTTCTTAGCCATATCGTTTGAATTCTTTGTAAAATTGGCTCTGATAGTTACAGACTAATTGGTTAATGGGAAGTAAGTATGCAATTGAGTATTGGCAGAAAAGTGAACCCAGAAAAAGAAAAATTTTCAAAATGTGTATTAAAAAATAGGCTGGTTTGTATTGCAAATGTCTGTATATACTGTGCAGCCACATTCCAAGTTAAAAATTTAATATTATCACCTTTTAAATAATCTCTTAGTTTTTCTTTTATTTCTTAATCATCTATACCAATCTGTTTCTTTTTTTTTATACTTGAAATATCAGTTTATGAAGGCTTCATCATTTTGTTGCTGAAACTAGTGGTTTTCTGTTCTTTCCAAAGTTTTCAATATAGTTTTTACTTATGGAATCTTTATTTTTTTATATATAATTCATTTGGCATTCTCTTACCTGTAGTTCTTAAAATAGATTATCAGTATTGCATTTTAAATTGATTGAGACCCTCCAACAAGTCAGTAAATAAATTATTTACCTGAGACTATGCATATTTATTAATAACCCAAACCCTTTTTCTTTATTTCAATGCAGTATTCTTTATATTAACCTTATTCATGGGTGATAATTCTGTGTAAGAGCCATACTATTAACAAAGACTGAATTAAATTAGTGTCAATAAACACATTAGATCATAAAATTAATTTCATGTTTCCAATACACCCATGGGGCTGAGATGATTCTAGGCTTTGAGGCACTTGAAAACTGAACAGTAGGTTGATTAATTTTACCCTCCCCAACATATACACACACTTTTCTTATTCTATTTGATGAACTCATAGGCCAGAGTTTTCTTCTTTTTAAATGTATCAGTCATTGGCCTTTGCAGGGAGATTAATAATAATTCATTCTAGACCTGCTACTATTAATTATAAAGGAGGCACAGTTAGCTTTTATGTCTATCAACTTTCTACAGGGAATTGTTGCCTAGTATTATGAACTGTGTCCTTCATAATAACCGCATTTAAGAAGGCCCAATTTATGTCCTGAGAAGGCAAGTAAACCACTTAAGAATGTCAGTTTTCTGATTAAAGACAAATGGATAGGTAGATTTGATTATCTGCAGAGAAGGAAACTTATCAGTAGACAAGGAAATATGCTGTTTTGCAGGTAGAGTAGTAAGAAAATGTTTCAGTGCAGAAATTAAAGTTTCAAAAGGTGATGATATCAATTAGCTATTCTGAATATTTGTGACTTAAAAATTTTTTATTCATATCATTGTATATTATAGTTAAATATCAATATGGTTAAAGTCATATTTTGAACTTAGGTGATTTCTCTAATCACTTGTTAAGGGAAATGATTTCTGAGAAAGTATGTGACATACTATAACATACAGTTCAAATTTAGAAATTCTTATGTTTGCACTAGATTGTAAGCTCTTTGAGGGCAGGACTCTTGTTTTCTGCTCTTGGTATATTCCTTTTAGCTGAGCAGGATGACTTGTGTGTAGTTCGGTACATGCATTTTTGAAGGGTGATTTTTTGTTAATATGTACGTACATTCCCTAGGACTTGTTCCTCTGGTAATTATAATAAGTCTGAGAGTTGGGAGAGACCTCAATCTGATAGTAAAATTTTAATGTACTGTTTATGCAGCATATCAAGCTTTTTCTTTACTATATTGACTTAATCACTGATTTTCCTTAAGCCATAATAATATGGCAAAGAAGTAATTATATGGAAATCAAATGCTATGGTGTTTTGTTTTTTTTATATTGAAGCCAAAGGAGAAACTGCTTCACAGCTTCAGTCAAAAATTTCATCACATGAGCAAGATGTTATTAGCATAAACACAGCTCAACCAGAAAATATAACAGTGTTTCAGAAAGCTCCAGCTGAGAACTCCATTGTCAACTGTGACTCCCAGGCCCTGAATCTGTTAGCTGATCTAGCATTAAGCGCTGCTACCTCTACCACACCGCCATCTGACCCCAGAGACCTTCCCTGCTCTTCTGAATTGCCACAAAGAGAACAATCTCTGAGCAGTACATCTGACCATGAATATCATAGAGGAGTTAAAAGTCAAAAAGGTGGACTGTTACCTAAGCCCTCCTCTGATAAGAAGAGTAATCTGACATCAGACTCCACTGTCAGCCAAAAAGAAGAGAGCTTGGTTCCTGGCAGTCAGGCCCCTGTTGAAGCCCAGTCAGCACTTCCTGAGGAAACACTAGAAACTTCAGATGCAAGCCAAAGTTCTTTTGTTGCTGTGGAACATTCCTATGCCCTGCTCCTTTCAGGACATGCAAAGAAGTTGCTACAGCAGAGGGGGGTAGCAGGCCATGCCTTTGTCAAGAATGGCACAAAAGGCCCTGAAGTAGGAACTCCAGTGGGAAAAGTAATGCCATTTCGACATCAGCTGAGCACCTCCCCTCTTCAAAAGCTTTCTGAGGACTCAATATTCAAGCGCAGGAGATTACTGTCCTCCAGCCTGAGAGACTTTTACTACTCTCATACTGTGTTCAGCTGTGATGGCTCCTTCAAGGTCACTTTCACATGTGAAACAAATTATGTATTCAGCTTAGACAGCAAATATACCAACAACCCACTGGAGAAAACTGTACTAAGAGCATTACATGGGTAAGTAAGAGTGACACTTGATGAATGTGGAGGTAAATGTCCTATTGAGATAAGTGTAATGAGCAGAGATACTATGCCAGACTTTGGGAGAGAAGAAAGCAGTGTCATATGTAAATCCATGACTCAATATCAAGCAGTTGTGTTTACTGGCACTGAAGAATGTGAGGCTGGTTTTGCCACTATCAGTGATCACATCGAGAACTTTTACAGGGTAACTATCCTCATGAATGGCTTTCCATTTTGAGATGCTCCTTGATAAGCCTTTGTATTCTTTGAATTATAATATTTAAATGAGATCTTAATGTAAAAGAGCAAGATATAGAAGTAATACTTTACAGACTGAATTTTAGAAGAAACATTTAAAGAATTACTTTTAACTTATAAAGCTGATCAGATTGCTTTGAGTAAATAGTTTTACATGGTGGTGTTCTATAAATCTTCCTCAAAAAGGGGTCAAGGCAGTAATAGAGTGGCAGAAAGCATGGGCTTTGGATTGTGAACTAATGTGATTTTTTGAGCTAGGCTCTCCCACTTACTAACTTTTGCGACCCAGAAGTTCTGTGCTTCAGGACAGTGCTTCTCAATCTTTATTGTGTGCATGACTCATCAAGGGGTCTCATTGAACTGCAGAGTCTGATTCAGTCTTTTTGGGATGGGACCTGAGAATCTACATGTCTAACACATTTCCAGGCAATGCCAGTGGAGCTTTAAACACTAGCTACTTTATGAGGTTGTTACATGCATTTGGGTTTTGCACAGTGACGGAGACATACTAATGAATAGTAACCATTACTATCAGGAAGCATTAGCTGTATGAAATGACACTGAGCTACCTCTTAGTGGAATATTTCATATGTGAGTGACTAAATTGTGTCAGACTTCTTTCCTTGCTCCAGTTGATGAACTTGCACTCATAAGAGCATACATATACGTTCCCATCTACTTATGAGGGTCATTTCCTTAACTATAATCCTATTTAACTGAAGCCTAGCCCTGTAGTCCCTCTGTCTCATCCCAATCCAGTTCTCTGCTATCCTTTTGCCTGGCAGTGGCCAGAACTGTTTTGTGGCACCCTTTTTGGTTTCAGGAGATTTTCCAGAACTGTAATCTGAAAATAGGTTAGTTCTGTTGAATTGCCCACAGAGATATTATAATCTTCAGACTTTTCCAACTATTAGAAGAGAGGTGAAAAAGTAGAAATGGGTAAGCCAGATTTAGCAAAAGCAAGAAATGAGTCTTTAGGCAGTTGCTGAAACCATTATCCACGAAATAGGTGTACTGTGGATAATTTGCATGTTATCAAAGAAAAATGAGAGACTGGGAGTTGGGAGACCTGTTTTGATTATGGTTCTACCACTTACGGATTTTGTGATTTGAAAGAAGTCACGTAAAGCTTTGATTTTCAGTTTCCTTCTGTCTCTGTAAAATGAGTAGATTCGATTAATTGTTATTGTTTGTTAAATCAACTTCATTTTTATCTTACTTGATTCATCTTCGTGTAATTTTTAAAATAAAAATGAACACAAAAACTAAGATTAATGAAGGCCACTTGCTTAAGATAATCAACTAAAATAACCATTTGCAATGATTTTTGATATGTTCTATTTTTTAAATCTCAGGCCCTGGAACACTGATTTACCTGATAACATGGAAGAAGTGAAGCTTTTACTTCATATGTGGGTAGCGCTGTTTTATAGCAATCAAAACAAAGTCATACGATCATCCCGAAAAGTAGTAGAACACAGCAACCCTGCCAAATATGTGTCTATAAATAGCACAATAGAATCTTTTGAATTCAGTGAAATTGAGGAGTCCCCCAGTGTGGAAAGGTGTTCTGTTGGCCCTTTGTTGGAGACAAACGAAGCTCCCAGAGGTCATAGTACCGAAGTGTCCCTCCCTGACACTAAATCCTTGCTTCCTTTCATTAAACCACCACCTGCAAGAGGCTTGGAACTCTGGGAACAGAATGAACATAAAGAAGTTTTTGTAAGAGAGGGTCATCCAGATACCCCAGAAAACCAGAATTTCATCTATTCTTGTAATAATGAGGTAAGTAAAGCTGAATACTACAAATTCTGACATTATTTTTGAAGTTTTCCTTTTATTTGTATAGAAAATCACGTTCAAAACAAGGCATTTGTTTCTTTTAGGAAAGTAGATTCTCTAGCTTTGTAAAGGTTTATAATGCCCAAAACTTAGTTTCATAAGTGTCACTCTAGATAGTTTGCAGATGGAGCTTATCTATCATCCTGATAGAAGAAACAAATGAAAAATCATGGTGGTCAGATGATCTGGGAGCTAACCATAATTGTGTCACTTGTTTGTTGTATAATATGGGGCAAATTATCTGTTCTCTGTGAGCTTATTAAAGAGGCAAATAATATTCTTTATGTCTTATCCAGAATAGTGTTTAAGGATCAGATGTGGTAATGATAAATATTAGAAATCTTTGATAAACAAATTAAAATTGAGTATACTGAAATTATTTTTGAAAACAAATCTTGAAACAGTAAATAAAATGCCAGACCTTTCACAGGTCTGTAGATAACTATTTATAAATATAGAAAATATACTTTATTTCATTGTACTTTTCTCAGATGACATTCAGCCAGGCCAGATATCAAATTTTAACTGTAGCAAATAATAGTATCAAGATTCTAAGTAAATGGATTGACAAAACACCTGCCTTTTTAAGCTTTCGGTCCAGATTTATTTAAGAATAATTTTGCATGGGTTTGGATACCTACGATACCTGTCTTCACATGAGTAGAAGTGTTTCTATATCTGGGGTTAACGTGGAGATTTGCAGGTCCAGGGGTGAGTCTCAGAGGGTCTGTGAATGTCTCCAGATGGTCATCATCGTCGTCATAATGAAGATTGGTGGAGGGCTATGGGCCAGAATGTGGTCTGCCACCTTGGCTCACATTAACTCTGTTAATTCTCACAAAACCCAGAGAGGTAAAGACAGTTCCTCCCTGCTTATAGATGAGGAAACGAAGGCATAGAGAAGTACAGAAATTGCCTGACGTCACAGTTAGTAAATTGTCAAGCCAGGCCCCAGCCAATGTTGCCCAGTGGTTAGAGCATCAGTCCTCGGACTGAAGGGTCAAGGGTTTGTTTCCCAGTCAAGGGCACATACCTGGGTTGCAGGTTTGATCCCCAGCCCTGAGGGAGGCAACTGATTAATGTCTCTCTCTCAAATTGATGTCCCCCAGGGAAAAATGTCCTTGGATGAAGATTAACAAAAAGTAAAATAATTGCCAAGCCAGGATTCAAATCCAGACAATCTAGGTGTTTCTTTTTTGTTGTTGTTTTTATTGTTTTTGTTAAGATGTTTCTAATTTTTCCCCCACTGAAACTCTCCCCTCTTCCCCCCCCACCCCATCCCCAGCCTTGTTGTCCATGTTCATCGGTCACGCATACATACATGTAAGTTCTGTGGTTTATCTACCCCCCCAGTCCAGGTGTTTCTTAATGTCAAATTCTGTGTGCATATAGGTGTGTTTATGGGTTTACATACATATATAAGTTTTATGTGCATATGTGATTTTTCTCCTGACAGGGGTCATAAATTTCATCTGATTCTCATAGAATAAGAAAATATTTATAGTTTAGTCAGGCAGATTCTGACTAATACATATATAACTTTCTTATACAGTATTTTTTGTTGTGACAATATATAATTAACCTGTTAACCGAGCAGGACATATAAATACGTCAAACGTTGCTTACAGTGAGATACAAGACTTGCTGCGAAATTAAAAAGGGAATTCCCCGGTTAACAGGTTAACTATCATCAGCACTAATTTTAGGAATCTTTTGCACATGTGAAATAGAGTATTAAGGAGGAAGTAACAGTATTAAAAATGATTTATAGCCCTGGCCGGTTTTGCTCAGTGGTTAGAGCATCAGCCTGAGGTCCACAGAGACCCGGGTTCAGTTCCCACTAAGGGCATGTACCTTGGCTGCAGTTTGTCCCCAGCCCTGGTTGGGGTGGCGGCCACTTGATGTGTCCCTTTCACGTTGATGTTTCTCTCTCTCTTCCTCTCTCTCCCTCCCGCTCTATCTGAATAAAAAGTGGAAAACTGTCCTCGGGTGAGGATAAAAAAAAGTAAAAAAATAAATTAAAAAATGATTTATAAAAATTTTTGTAGCATATACTTAAAATTTTTTTTATCTTTCTAGATACCATGCCAATACTTTAAAGGTAAACACACACATGCTGTACCAATCCTTTTCTACAAATGGGCAAACTAGGATGCGAAAGAATTCCAGCACAAGGGCATTAGAAAACAATAGCATGTTGCTTTTAGTTGTGTGTTTAATTTTGCAGTTCTTTTAAATGATCTCACTTTGTTTTAGAATCATTACACTTCACCTGTAGTAATATATGTGTGTGTGTGTGTGTGTGTGTGTGTGTATAATTAGTATAAACATATCAAGATTATCACAATTTGCATTTCCCTAAGACCACGAGCATGGCAAGATTCAGGACTGTGGTCAAACATTAACAGCCACAGGGTGACTGGGTGGGAGGATCACAGGGAAGTTCTCAGGCTGACTCCTAGCATTAAGACTTTTCTCTGTATTGTGCCTGGCTAGTCATGTTCTCTTAAAACTCTGAGTCTCAGCTCCACCCTGCCAGTTACTCGGCTCTGTGTCTTCAGTTAAGATGAGATGTTTTCAGTGAGGTTTGAAACAACAGGTCCTGATTTTTAACATGATTGTCACAAGATATGGCAGGAAATCTATAACCATATTGTTCCAAAAGTTACAGGTATATGATCAATTGTATGATCAGCCCATTTTACCATATTCTGCATAAGACCGTGCTTTCGTCTTTAAAAAGAAACAAAACAACCTATCTTTGAGGTTATCAAAATTATCCAGAGGTAGTTCTATATTTTAACCGAGATCCACATTCACCATCAGTCCCTTTAGTTCAGTTTATTCCTGCAAACTGCACTAGGTTTTATTGTGCTCTGTTGAATAGGAGGTATTACAATGAGAGAGAAATTTTCTACAGTTATAAGCAAAGAAGATAGCTGAGGAATAAGGAACTTTCATTTACCAGAACGGAGACTGATACCGCGGGAAAACTGCTAATCATTGTGTTCTGAGTACAAGAAATAGTAATTAATGTTTCCTTATGGGAAAGTTCTCTCGAGCTGCATTTCTGAATAAGCAATGCTATTTAGCAAACAGGCTGCATTTTCAAGTCTTTAAATTGTCAGTGGTCTAGCCACTTTTCTTCTTAAAAGTCCTTTTTTAAAAATGGACTGTGCAATTAGAAAGTTTTGGAGATGTCATTTGTTATGTTGTATATTTAAAGAAAATAAATTCCTATTTCTGGGGTATTTAAAACCTGTATAAAAAGAGACGGATTTGTTTGATCTTTACCCTGACTTATTCTTATAGATTAGAAAATTCAGAAGAAGAGACAAACTTAAAATAAATCCTTATTTATTGTGTTCTTCATAATGTTTTTAAATAATCTGACACTTGATTTTTCTTTTTACTTTTGTTATTTCAGATTATTGAGGGGAAAGCTGAACAAGAATCATCAGATAAACCAGAGATTTCTAATCGTTTGCTTCCTAGCACTGGAAGTACGCAGAGTAATGGACCTTCTATTCCTAGTGAAGATAAAACCTTTGAGCCATTTGATAGCACAAGAGTGACTTCTTATGATACTGTCACGCAAACCACATTCACCAAGACTTGTGATGGGATCAGCAATCAGCCAGTGTTTTTTCAGAAATCTGTGTATAGCACCCTTGACAGCAGAGTAGATCTTTTTCATGCAACAATGCAAGCAAAAACAAGTGGTTTACAGGCCCTTATCCAGCGTAGCAGCCCCCAAAACAAAGAATGTCAGCCTTCATTGGCAAAAAAGGATGATATAGGGTATGTAATGATTAATCTGGACCCAGTTTCTCTCACTTTTGAAAAAAATGCCCGCCTACCACTACAGACAGAAATTGTAAATAGAGCTGATAAACCTACAACCTTTAATATGGAGTTGATTAAACAAGTATCGCCTGCTACAAGTCTTAGACTTCCTGTATCCACATTTGAAAAGGTGCAAACACAAGGTCTGAAGGACATTCTGTCTCTAGCAGTATCAGGAGAAAAAGGCTCTAAGTACCTGTGTGCCACCTCAGTAAGTGGAGAGACATTAGCTAATAATGAAATGTGTTCATTACAGAAAGAGATACCTGTTTCAGGCTCATCATCACCATTTGATAATTCATTGGGAAAGGAGATACTACCATTAGTTAAAAGTTCTAATTATTCATTACCCAAGGAAGAACTGAAACACTCTCAAGAATTTTTTCTGCAGCCTAAGAGTCTCTTAAGCGTATCTTCAGAAGAGATTTTGGAGCCATCACAGATTGAAAACGAAGCCTTACCATCAGCTTCTGCCACATTGGAAAAAAATTACTCACCTAAATGCTTTCCATCAAGCATTAATACATCAAATGGCTCTTTAGAATTAAAGAGTGGTCTAAGCAGTGAAAATAGGAATTTTGAATTATTTAATTCAGCGTTTGCTAAACAATCCAGCCTCTCTGTAAATGGAGAGGAGGTCAACCTAGAGTTGGAGGAAGATTCTGACATTGACCTAACTCTCACAATATCACCACCTACAAGTCCCAGAGAAGAAATGCCAGCTGGTGAAATAGAGCAACATCAGGAGGCCCCATTATCAAACTTAGAACTCCAGGATATGGATGTAGACATAATTGAGCCAGAAGAGTTAACTTTTATAGGAAACAGAGGAGTGAATTCTGCTAAATATACATCACTGCCTCCCACAGTGTCTGAGAAACCATTAGAAAAGGAGGAGAGAAAAGGCGATAACTTACAAATGGTTACTTTAATACTTCCTAAAGAAACTTGTGCCCTTGAGCTCACAGAGGAAGTTAATGTTACCTCAGATTTTCCCTTTGGTTCTTTAATTGAAGAAGTGTCACCAGCTTCTAGCCCTGACCCCCAGGTACCAGTTGAAGAAACACGGCCATCTTGGGCTATGTCTCCATGTAGTTTAAAACATCCTGATACACAGTGTGAGAAACGTGAAACCTTCTCCCAGATTGAGTCAGTAGATTTGAGCATAATAGAAAAAGAAAATTCTTTTGTTGGTTCTATCTATCCAGTGGGACAAGATAACTTAACTCAGGTACAACAAATACAACTTTCTGCTGAAATGCCTTTAGTATTAAATAATCACCCAGGAAAAACAGATAGTCATTTAACCCTTTTAGATAAAGTAACTGAGGAAATTGTCCCAAGTGAGCATAATGAGGGTTTCTCTCTCTCAGAAAAAGTGCCATGCTGTGATACAGAGTTAGACCAACCTGCTTCAACTGCCAGTCACAGAGCTGACTTCAAGACTTCTCTAGAAAAATTGGTAACTTCAGGAAGCCTATTGCAGTCAATTAGTATAGAGAACAGAAATTCAGACTTAAATCACCTTGCCTTGGAGACTAGTGAACCTCCGTTTAGTCCTAGAAAGATTTTGGAAAAAATGTCTTCGGTTGACACATTTGTTTCCACAAGTGGTCCAAGTGATATAGTAAATGTATCATTAAATCAGCAAACTAGCCCTAAAAGCATTAAGAGTCTCTTTAGCAGTGATTTGAAAACAAATGAAGGCAATTACATGCAAACTCAGTCCTTGAGCTCTGACATAATTGATGACACTGATAATACACAGGCACACATGCACTCAGAGATCCCTAAACTGGCTTTTTCCTCAAATGGTGCTACCTTAACCCATTTTACAAGACCCATAACCAGAGAGACAGCGTTTCAAACACAGGAAATATCAGTAGTTAGAATGGCCGATTTGCTTAAGAATAGTGAAACTGAAGCTGAATTACATGAAAACAACAAAGATCTAGGAGGTGTTGGCTCTGAATTAAGCACCACATCTCCAAAAGGCAAACAAAAAACCATCCGTATGTCACAAGATACATCAGCATGTGAAGCACAAGATCTGTTGAATGGAGGGCTTTTCCCCATGTACTTACATGCTGATTCTCACCAAAATACAGCAGTCATCAATGAAAATACCAATGAAGAGCCTTCTGCCTTTTTTGTTCCCAAATCTGCCTCCCTTGTTTGTGGAGTCGCTAATGAACAGATGGAAAATAAAAGCTCTGGTGAAGGGCTCCAGACCAAGGAGGACTCTGAAACTGTGTGTGGAGACATGGATGTTAGTGTAAATTCTGACTTCCATTATGAACCACTTTCCGGAGACTCTGATCAGGACTCTTTTGGTGATTGTAGAAATCTCAAATTTGACATACAGCGTTCCTGCACTTCACGATATAGTCACAACAAGGAAGAAGGTGCTTTGAAAGATGATTATGACTCTTTCCTGAGCCTAAACAATAGTGATAATGATGATTGGGGCTACTCTAACAAAATTCCAGGGTTGGACACCATACCTCCCCAAAACTGGTCCGTTGGATTAAAGAAGGAAGATAAGTGTGTGCCATGTTACATCCAAATCAGAGATCTCTGCGGTATGCCCAGGACTTACACTAACTTTACTGTAACTAAAGAGGTCAAAGATACCAAGAGAACTTTGCACAGCCTGAGAAAGCACCCCAATTTCACAGCTAACCATGGCTTGCTTAGCTCCTGGACAAGTACTTGGCAGGTGGCAGACGACCTTACCCAGAACACTTTAGATCTGGAATATCTGCGTTTTGACCAGAAACTGAAACAAATTGTAAAGAGGGGGGGTTCTCAGCGTTCTGCATCTTCAGCCAACATCTTTCTGAAGGAACCACCTCTCCAAATTGTCGCTGACGCTTTCCCTTTGCCAAAAATATCCGAGTCCCCAGTTCTCCATCCTCAGTCCCGGAGCAGAAGTCCCCTTGTGGTAACAATCATGCACTCAGACACCAGACCACAGAGTGAGCACCTAAGATGCCACAAGCCCAGCGATTTAGACAGTTATTCCTTTTGGAAGGAAAGATGTGACCACAGGAGAAATCATACAAATTCTAAAAGAAATCAGACTGTTTCTTTCCACCTCAACAAACTGAAATATAACAGTACTTTGAAGGAATCCCGAAATGATATCTCCCTTATTCTCAATGAATATGCGGAATTCAACAGGGTGATGATGAATGGCAACCAAGTCGTTTTCCAAGATAGAGAGTCAAATGTTGCTTCTGAAGAAGCCACATCTCAAGAGATGTGTTCATCTTCCCCAAGGTCAGCCTCCTACGAAGACATGATTACAGACTTGTGTAGCAGTTTGCACGTCAAACTAACAAGTGTTGTGAATGAGGCTTGCAAAAGCACCTTTCTGTTCTACCTTGTTGAGACAGAAGACAAGTCATTCTTTCTGAGAACAAAGGTAAGGTGCCAGGTAATTTTAGCTTATTTTAAAAGTAATAAACTTAGCATTCTTGGCCTCGAAAAGAGATGATATATGAAGTGGTATTTGAGTTTGATAGCCTGATTTTTTATCTGCATACCAAATGTTAGGCTACAAGCATCGGCCTTTGGTATTATATTTGAAGGTATGTGTGATGTTCCAGAATTCATGCAATGTCTAACTTTCACAAAAAGTTACCAGTATAGACATACTCAAATCTAAATGTAAATACAAACTTGTTCATAAGGTAAAATTCAGATTTTTAAAAAATATGCCCGGCCAGTGTGGCTCAGTGGTTGAGCATTGGCCCATGCACCAAGAGGTTGCTGGTTTGATTCCCAGTCAGGGCACATACCCAGGTTGTGGGCCAAGCCCCCAGTGAGGGGCGTGCAGGAGGCACCAAATCAATGTTCTCTCACATCAGTATTTCTCCCCCTCTCCCCCGACTTCCTCTTTCTCTCAAAAAATAAATAAAAATTACTAGCTATGTTCCATTATTTCTATAGTTGTGAGGGACTTTTGATTTTGGGTTTCTTTTATTTATTATTAGGATAACTGATGTTCTGGTGAGAGCAGAATGTGTCTTGATTTACTATTAGCTTCCTCATTTTATCCTCTCAGAATTTCTATTTTTGGAAAATACACAATTCTTATATAATTTTAAATTTATATAAATGTTGCAGAAATGGTACCCTTTACCCAGATCCTTCATTATTTATATTAATGCTCAGATGGTCCTAGAACCAACTCGTGGGAGTCCTTTTAAGTTGGCTTCTGTGTCCTTTTGACAGGTTTTCATAATTCTTTAGACACTTCTTCCTTTGTTGTGTAATGTGATGTTACAGGCTTATCTCATGTATTTCCTAAGCCTTGAAGTCAGCCATTTCTCCAAGGGACTGTGATTCTTTTTGTGTATGTGTGTTATCTTTATTTTATTTTTTTTTTATTAATTTGATTTTGTTACAGATGTTTCTCATCATCCCCCCATTGACACCCCCTCCCCTTCCCCCCTGCCCCATCCCCAGTTTAGTTGTCTGTGTTCATTGGGCATGCATGCATGCATGTAAGTTCTGTGGTTTATCCCCCCCCCCCCCCCCCCGCCGAAGCCCTCCCTCCTCTGAGGCTTGTCAGTCTGTACCCCACCTCTATGTCTCTGGGTTAATTTTGTTCAGCAGTTTGTTTAGTTCATTATATTCCACAAATAAGTGAGATCATGTGGTATTTGTCTTTCTCTGCTTGGCTTGTTTTGCTTAGCATAATACTCTCCAGGTCCTTCCATACCATCTCAAAGGATAAGAGATCTTTCGCCCTGGCTGGTTTGGCTAAGTGGTCAGAGCGTCGGCCTGCGGTCCAGAGAGACCCGGGTTCGGTTCCCGCTAAGGGCACGTACCTCGGTTGCAGTTTGTCCCCGGCCCTAGTTGGGTTATATGGGTGGCAGCCACTCGATGTGTCCCTTTCACATCAATGTTTCTCTTTCTCTCTCTCTTCCTCTTTCTCTCCCACTCTATCTGAACAAAAAAACAAAAACAAAAATTTCTTTTAAATCTCTCAAAGGATAAAAGATCTTTCTTACAGCTGCATAGTATTCCATTGTGTATATGTACCACAGCTTTTTAATCCACTCATCTACTGATGGACACTTGGGCTGTTTCCAGATCTTAGCTATTGTAAATAGTGCTGCTACAAACATGGGGGTACATATATTCTTTCTGATTGGTGTTTCAGGCTTCTTAGGGTATATTCCTAGAAGTGGGATCACTGGGTCAAATGGCAGCTCAGTTTTTAACTTTTTGAGGTAACACCATAGAGTTTTCCATAGTGGCTGCACCAGTCTGCATTCCCACCAGCAGTGTACTAGAGTCCCCTTTTCTCCACACCCTCGCCAACACTTGTTTGATGCTTTGTTGATGGCAGCCATTCTGACAGGTATGAGGTGATACCTCATAGTTGTTTTAATTTGCAATTCTCTGATGATTAGTGATGTTGAGCATTTCTTCTATGTCTTGGCCATTTGTATGTCCTTTTTGGAGAGATGTCTCTTTAGGTCCTCTGCCCATTTTTTAATTGGGTTGTCTTCCTTTTGTTGAGTTGTATGCGCACTCTATATATTTTGGAAATTAACCCCTTATCTGATGCATCATTGGCGATTATGGTCTCCCATATAGTGGGATCCCTTTCCGTTTTGATGGTTGTTTCTTTTGCTGTGCAGAAGCTTTTGAGTTTAATGTAGTCCCATGTGTTCATTTTTTTCCTTTGTTTCTCTTGCCTTAGGTGTTATGTCAGTGAAAATTCTGTTGCGTGTGATGTCTGAGATTTTGTTGCCTACATTTTCTTCTAGGATTTTTATGGATTCACAAGTTACATTTAAGTCTTTTATCCATTTTGAGTTTATTCTTGTGTATGGTGTAAGTTGGTGTTGTAGCTTCATTTTTTTGCAAGTAGCTGTCCAATTTTCCCAACACCATTTATTAAAGAGGCTGTCCTTACTCCACTGTATGCTCTTGCCACCTTTGTCAAATATTAATTGAGCATATTGCCTTGGGTCCATTTCTAGGTTCTCTATTCTGTTCCATTGATTTATCTGCCTGTTCTTGTGCCAGTACCAGGCTGTTTTGATTACAGTGGCTTTGTAGTATAACCTGAAATCTGGTAATGTGATCCCTCCTACTTTGTTCCTTCTTTTTCAAGATTGCTGTGGAAATTCGGGGTCTTTTTTGATTCCATGAGCTGTGATTCTTTTTAGTGAAGAATAGCATTTGGAATCAAGACTTGGGGCATTGCATGAACTCGGTGCTACTGAGTGTCCTTGCATCTACATCCGCCCAGTAAACAGCTAAGAAATAGATGTGTTAAATGTACAAGTAATATCTGTTTGTTTTTAAAACAAAAATAGGAGCACACTCCTCCCCAATTGTACCACCATGTCTGTCCTGGCCTTTGCCAGAGTTGCAGCTCCCTTCTCCAGCTGTCAGGACTCTTATTGGCTCACCACCTACCCTATTATGTAATCCCAGTCCTGGCCTGCAACTCAGCCCTGGTCATGCCAGCCCCCCACTTCACCAGCCTGGAGCACCAGTTCAAAGTGGGGCCCCTCCACACCTGTAGCAAGAGCCAGTTAAAATGACAGCAGTCCCTCTCGTTGTCTGTTTTAAAGCCCTGAAGTGTGCAGGTGAGGGGAAATGAAAAACACTGATAAGAAACAAATAAATGTAAAACAAAACATGTAAGTGTGATGGTGCAGGTGCTTCGACGTAGTTTTGAGGCCAATAGGCATAGTCAGGGAGGTCAGGAATGTTTTTCTAAAGTTAGCAAGGCTGACCTGTTGTATGGTGTGGAAGGCTGGACTAATAAGTGTTCTGGTTCTAAATGTTCATTTATGCCAATACTTAGAAGTCTTGTGTTAAGTCCAGAGTATCTGTCACATATGTTCACATGATAAATCCATAGATGTTGAATTAAGTTACTAAGACATCTGATGATGTATATGACGACTGTGACAGTCATCATCACAGAGGGCACATTAGGTAGACCTGCCCAGCTGCTTCCTACTCTTCCCAGAGGCAGGTGTGAAGATGGTAAACAGGAGGTTCTCAGAGTGGAGGATGCAGTGGAAGTAGCACAGATGCTGTCCACACAGGTTGGAAATCTGGCCAGAGAGACAGTGGGCAGTTTCAATCAAAGGCTCAGCACTTTAGGAAGAAAAGCATAAGGGGACCCGGAAAGGGTTTCCAAAGGGTCAGAGTCGGTATGTCTGGAGTATCGTGTGTCCTTTCAAGAAAGAGGTCTGGGAGTAGGTAGGAGGACAACGTTAATATCTTTAATTACATGAACTTGACCCTCCCAATCAGGCTACTGTAGCACTCTTGTGTAACAACAGTGCCTAACAACCATGCACAGCTTAACATACATCTCCCATGGTACTTAAATCCCCATATCCAAGGGACTGTTGTCTGTCCCCAAAACCAGTCATTAATGATCTTCAAAGTAATGCTTAGCTGTTATGGGTATTCTTTCCTAGAGCGAGTTCTAGAAACATTTTGACAAAAGGTGGTGCTTTTTAGTGCATCTCTGCATCCCCAAGGTAATTCCCTTGAGGGTGAGACTCAATATATTAGTCTGATGTTTAAAAAGAATCAGTTTTTGGTACTTAAAGAACATAAAAACATTATATAGTGCCCCCTTTTAAAAAAAATAAATCTAGTTTTCTAAATTGATTTTTAGAGGGGGGGGGGGGGAACATCAATGTGAGAAAGATACATCAGTCTGTTGCCCCGACCAAGGATTGAACCTGAAACCTGGGTATATATGCCCTGACTGGGAATCCATGCCAGCCAGGACTTTTTTTATTTTTTGCCTTTGAAATAAACTTATAAAACCCAACTTAATAATGCTTAGGAGTCATTTTACAGGTAAAAGCTCACTTGCTAGTAAGACAAATTGCCATTTATGTTGCCTTATTAGGATATAATTTAGTAAATAGGATGTGCTTTTTGATGTTCCTAATAAACTATAAAAGTAGTTCAGTGCAAGCATCCTGTTTTTGTGTGTTTTTTTGTTTTTGTTTTAAGTAATGGCTATTTGTAAATCTTTCAGAATATTCTGAGGAAAGGAGGCCATACAGAAATTGAACCTCAGCATTTCTGTCAAGCTTTTCACAGAGAGAATGATACACTAATGGTCATCATCAAAAATGAAGATATCTCATCACATTTTCATCAAGTAGGTTTGGAAATACAAAGAAATAGATCCCAGGCCTTTTGTTACTCTGTAATTATCAGACTTGTCACTGCTTTTTTTTATTCATAGTAAGGGAGAACTGTAAAAAGATATTGGTAAATTTTCATCTAATAGTAATGAATCTTAAAAAGAACTTGCAAATACCTATTAGTTGAATAAAAGTAATTGCTTCTCCTAAGATCTATCTTATGGGCATAGCTCCAGTCCTGCTGTCAGGAGGTAGGAACCAAACCCTAACAGCATCCACACCAGGGGAAGCTGGAGACGGGTGTTAACTTGTTACCTGCCTGATTATAGGTCCCCAAAATATGATATACTCTTCCTGCACTATCTCCAAACTTTGGAGTTAATAGAGACCACTTTGTAATTAACTAGTTTTAATGAGCTTGAAGCATCAATGATTAACTGAACTGGATTAATATTCTTTATGTGTGACAGGATTACGCATCAGTCATCAAAGTTAAAAGTATTTTTAGGTGTCCTGAATCTTGAAACCCTCAGATAAAAAGTGGTAAAAGTGACCCAGTGAACCTATCTTCATTGTAGGATCCTTTTATGTTTAACAGATTCCTTCTTTGCTGAAGCTGAAGCATTTTCCCAGTGTCATCTTCGCTGGAGTAGATAGCCCTGAAGATGTTCTCAACTGCACCTTCCAAGAGCTGTTTCGGGCAGGAGGCTTTGTGGTATCAGATGACAGAATATTAGAAACTTTAACATTAGGTTGGTCATTTAATTTCCTTGTTTCTTTCTTTGAAATCTAGTCAAAATAGATTTTCCCCTCACCCAGTGACTCAAGTATTATTTCATGAAAAAGAAATTATCTACTCAAAATTGTATCAGTCTACCTCTTGAGGACTTAATTTTTGCCATATGCTCTGGTATGGCATGATCTTAACCCCTTTTGTTTTACTAATTGTCTTCACCACCAAACCAGCTCCTAAATTCCTTCTCAGGAATGTGGCTAAAATAGTCATATACATTTGAGATTTTGTTACATTTGACTCCTTTACTTGCCAAATCAAGTCAACTACAGGCTAAATTTTTTTGTTTAGAATCAGCCCTCTTCCATTTCTGTTGCTGTCACCCTTACCATCTTGATACAGAAATCTAAAAAAAAAAAAAAAAAGTTACTGAAAGTTGTGTTAATTATCTGCTTGAACACTCATAAACAACATGAGTTTGACCTATATGCATCTACTTTTACTACTTGACCTGAGCAGTTCAAACCCATGTTGTTCAAAGTCAACTGGAGATTGATTGAGAATCTGTGTGTGCAGGGGACCTACTTAAAGTATATGCAGTTAACCCATTGTGTGGGCAGTCAGTGCCCCTGATCCTGCATTGTTCGAAGGCCAACTGTATAGTTGATTTCTCCCAGGGCACTGACTGAATTGACCTAGAAGAATGTCAGAGCACGGGGCAGACACTTTTGTGTATGATCAATACCTGCCCTAGCTCTGATACCATATTAGAACTAAATGTGAATATACAACTTCTGGATTAGATTAGGAGGATAAACCGTAACAAGCATGAATTGTACATGGAAACTGGAGTTGAAAAATATTTGTAGATTCTGTATTTAGAAACCTGGATTTTGCTGTTTCAACTAAACCTCCTATGTGATTTCCATACTATGTTCAAAGCTTTCATCGCTAGGAATCGCAGTGCCCTTTTCTCTATACAGTTCTCTCCTAATGCAGTATGAGTAAGGGGAGTCGAAGGGCCACGGGTTGCTGTATCTTTGAAATGCAGTATGGGATCCTGCCCAGCCACACAAGTGGCAATGATGGTATACACTCAGTTTTTTAAGTAATAAATTCTGGGCTTTGAGTAGATAAACCAAAAACCTTAAAACACAACTTACTCTATTCTGTAGTTCAACTGAAGGAAATTGTGAAAATCCTGGAGAAACTAAATGGAAATGGAAGATGGAAGTGGTTGCTTCACTACAGGGAAAATAAAAAGCTAAAGGAAGATGTAAGGTAAGGCCTGATGTCATTTGAGGGCTTGCTGTGGGTAGGGGTGGAAATGTTCAGTGTGCTCTGGACTGGAAATCACCTGCATCTCTAAACACAATTGACTGTTTTTTAGATTTTGTTTTTGTCGCAGGGCATATTATTCAGTGGAAGCTGTGTGTTGTAATCAAAAGTTTATATGCACACACTTTGAGTAGTACTCTCTCTAGGCCAACAGAAGTAAAGAAGTCAGACCTAGGGCCCTAAAATATCCATAGAGTTAAGTTCAGGCTCTGTTACCATGAACTGTAAAAGACTGCCACATTAGCCCAGCCGACATGGCTCACTAGTTGAGCATCTACCCATGCATCAAGAGGTCGCTGGTTTGATTTGTAGGCCTGATCCCCAATGTCAGGCATGCAGGAGATAGGCAATTGATATTCTCTCTCATCGATGTTTCTAACTCTAAAAATCAATAAAGAAAAGAAATCTTTATTTGCATAAATAGTGCATCTGTAATGTTTTGAGGGAATGCATCAGGACAGTGACTTATAGGAAGGCAAGTGTATGGTGAGAAAGAATGAACAAGGGATCTCAGGAGTTGGTTTTATCAGAAATAGTTTTTAAACTAGGAGTGTAAGCATAGTCAAGGCAAGAGAACATCTAGGAATAAAACAAAATTAAGATACAGTAAAAAATCAACTTTTTCATAAATTTAACATCTGTTTATTTTCCAGAGTGGATTCAACTGCACATAAGAAGAACTTAATACTAAAATCGTATCAGAGTGCAAATATCATTGAATTACTTCATTATCATCAGTGTGACTCTCGATTATCAACAAGAGCAGAATATTTAAAATGTCTGCTAAACCTGCAAATTCAGCATATCCATGCCAGGTTTGCTGTCTTCCTGACAGGTAAAGTCACACAGCCTTAGTTTTACTTCAGTTTCATCTCATCAACCAGTCAATGCCAAAATAGGCAACTCTAGAAATGTCCTTGCAAGTAGAGTCATTGGATATATCAGCTGTTACCCTGATAAATTGCTGGGTGAGGAGTACTGTCTAGTTAATAGTCCTCGAACACAGTTTCTTTTTAGTTTCATCATCTCCTACAAGTACTTACTTAATTTTATACGAATTTTCATCAAGCCTTCGAAAATGAAGGAATGACTCAGTGGTTTTTAGCATTCCTCCCTCCTACCGTGGAAGCCACTGCTCCCAAAGGTTTTCTTTTTCTTCACTGGAACCAGACTCCCTTTTCCCCCCATTAGAGTTTAGCACGTTTTCTTTTTTTTAAACAAAAGGGTTCTGCTAGTTTTAAAAAAGTTGGATTAACATTTGAATAACCCTGTTATATACCTGAAGCTAATATAATGCTATGTCAACTGTACTTTAAAGTACATTAATGAATTTTTCAACCAAAAACGGATTCTTTTTCTTTTTACAGAAAAGCCTGTCTCCAGAGAAGTCTTTGAAAATAGTGGCATCCTTGTTACAGATGTAAATGACTTTATTGAAAATATACAAAAAGTAGCAGCTCCATTTAGGAGTAGCTATTGGTAAGAACACTTTCTGTAACTCGCCCATGTCAGCTGGAATTGAGGGCAGATACTGGCGTTTGTGTCTGTGAGAAAACAAAACTGTACAGAAACTCTGTTCTTTACCTTAAATGTTATCATGCTGTCAATTAAAAATAACTTTTGACGTTCTAAAGTATCCACTAATGAAAGAAATAACCAACCTCCTTTGAATTACCCAGTTTCTCTACGATTTGCATTTTCACCTGCAGTTTATCCTGATCACCAAAACAGATGTTACCTTACAAAGCATAGGAATTTTCCCCATTCTATTTATAAAATAGGTTGCTATTTTGTTTTACCCAGGCGATTCAACTGCAGCTTGCCTAGACATCAATGATGCCAACAACAAATTAGTATTTCCTTTTTTCTTTGAGAAATTTTAAGACACACATAAAAGTCCTCCTTTCTCATAATTGAAAAATCAATGTTCTACAACTTGGAGGAAAACTCCTTTTTTTATATTACTTAAATATCTGACTTCACAGTGACACAGTAATGTCTATTAGCTTTGGGTTGCAGTGTTAAATATTTTGTTTTAAATTATTTTAATTTAAAGCTATTAATTGAATTTACTGTTAAAAATAAGTTTATAGACATTATTTACTCTGCTGTAGCAGAAATAAGTCTATTTTAACCAGTCGCTCTGTTTTTACATGTCAGCAAGACACAGCACGTCAGTCTGTTTTAAAGGTTTTACCACCCTGGTAAAAACTATACTCTTAAGTGTTTCACATTTGCTGTTATTAAGAAAACACTACATAAAGTTAACCTTTTTTCCAAAATGGTACAAATTTATATACTGTCATTTTCCACTTACGTTGTAAATAGTGCACTTACAAAAAATCAACTCGGAGAAGAGATAATCACTTATTTATGACATTAGAAATAATTTCTACAGTAATGTTTAACTTGAAAACTAAGCAAAAATCATTTGTAAGATACATGGTATCTATTTGGAACAAAGGTTTTTATAAGTAATTTGTTTCATTTTTAAAAAATAAAGACAACTTTAAAAATCAACTGTTTCTGCAAGGACTTTATAGCAAAAATTGGAGTTTGTCGAGAGAGTTTTAGCATTTTTTAGGCACCTTAGCAGGAATAACTGGGTTCCAGAGGCATCCTAACACATCATTTTTGGCCCTGATCTGTAGGTCTAGTCCCAGCAGATCTGCCCAGTGCCTTTCCCTCCCAAGGTCATGTGCACTGAGCAGCAAGCTACAGAAAGAGGATATTCATAGGACTTCTTTCATCTGGCCCAGCTACAGGGCTGTCAGACCTATACAAAAACTTCTTTCAAAAGCCAATCATCTGCTCTGTATACTTCCTACCCAAATCAACATACCAGTTTCACTATGTTTTTTCCTCACAAAGAGGGGGATTAATAAAGTTTTAATTATTTGACATTAGCTTTTGCTTAGAAACCCATTTTATTTTTACCTCAGGGATGAGACTCAAACAAGAGGACCATAACCATCTCCTGCATGCCCCCCACTGGGTATTTGGCCCACAACCTGGGCATATGCCCTGACCAGGAATCAAACTGGCAACCTCCTCTTGGTGCATGGGTCGTCACTCCACCAGTGGGCCACACCGGCCTGGCATGAATTGATTTATATTTTAACATTTATCCAAGTCACGGAATAATGGGTCTAATTTGAACTATGGGCTCTTCCAGAAATTGTGCCTTTGGCGTGTTTGGACTCCACTGGCCTGGGACAGAAATAGTAGATAAATGAGGACTATATAGAAGTCCTGGTATATTTTTCTTTCTACTTAATACTAATATAGTTTCTGCTGGCAGTAATACTGTAGTTCACCATTCAAAGGATTATGGGTAGGAAGTTTCTTGGAAGGACTCGCTGGGATTTTAGATCAACTTAATCACATAGCTAAAGCAGTGGTTCTCAACTGGGGCAACTGAGACATTTTGGTTCTCCAGCTTGAAAGGTGCTGTTAAACATCACATAGTGCACACAGGACAGTACCCCACAACTAAGAATTATCTGGCCAAAAGTGGGTAGTGTGAGATTTAGAAACTGAGCTGAAGTAAATCAGATAATCTGATTATTATCCTAATTGCTTTAACAGAGCATCTCTTTAGTTATTTGTCCTTCAGACTAAACTGTAAGAATCAATATTTGGCCTATAAGAATATAGTTAAGATGTCTTCATTTGCCTGCCCTTATGGATATATGCTATCAATTTATGTGAAAATCTTAAAGCACCTAATCCACCTGACAGTTCACTTATTCTCTTACAAATGCTACCTATAAGCAAAACTATCAAAGGCAGTAACTTGCATTTGTATGGGAAAAGAATACCTGTTAACTACTACTAAGAATATCTAAGAATTTCAGTTATATTGAGTCAGGAATATAATTTGGGATCTACTCACAGTGAAGCCAGATAATGGATTCCTATCCATCCAAGTTTGAATCTTCACGTGCTGTCAATGACCAAGCATAGTTCTACTCCAGCATCTCTCCTAGCATCAGTTTCAGCTCTACTGAAGGAAATAAACAGCTGTGTCATGGCCAGCACAATAATTTATAGCTCTTAACCTCAGTGCACAAACAGACCAATCAAGAGGGAACTGGTTTCCAGAGTTTGGCTTTATTTTGCAGTACAGAAATCATTTGGAGCCATTTTGAGGCAGACATCATTGAAGGAGAGGCTCTGTCAAATCAATACTGCATTGCAGCTTGGTCCATTGGAAAAAGCCACACCTGGGATACAATAGAAGCATCTACATTTACCTGCTTTATGATAGGTTTCTTTCCCCCTTTGCTGTCATCAATTAGGTTAAAACACCGCACACAGGCTTCCTCCAAAATGACTCTTGAAGTCTGGAGTTTAGTTAGAATTTTAGGCCCACATAAACCAAACGTGTGGTGAGGATATATGGGCACTATCATAATACTTTACAGGACCAAAATACAAAGCTATAGGGAAAACTTCAGTATGCTGTCCCAAATTATGGAATATTTGATTTCAAATCTTAATATCAAGAGGACAGATGGCACACAAATTGTACTGATCCAGCTCTTGAGCAGAAGCACATAACTGCAAAGGCTACACTGATTAAAAGATACAAATACTGTATCAGGATCTCTGTATCAGTATCACAATGTTTTTTAAAACTTACCCTTCACAAGAAAAAAGCCAACCTTGGTTAAACAGTACAGAATGTGGTCACCTGCCAATTCTTAATAGCCACACTATGAAAACAAGTTAATACATGATGTTAGAAAGGGGAGGAATATTTACTGGTGCAGTGCTCTGCAATCTCTCAGTATGGATTACAAAGGCAGGCCTTACAATATTGATTTCATACAATGTGTATTATTTGCCAAATTTTAAGTCTGTCCTAATTAGATGATAACATGTACTGCTGTTAGTCTTCCCCATAGATGTCATTTTTCTTGCGCTTCATTTCCTCAAAGTCAAACTCTGATCCTGTCATCCTCTTATAGATGTCTTTAATGTCATCACAGGTTGTCTCAAAGTGAGTTGTAGCATCATATGTACGGGAAATAAAGATCTGGAAATAAAAATTAAAAATACTTGAAACTAGGGAAGTCTCCCATTAAAACATGGTAATACCCTTTTCTGATCACCACACTCACCTGGCTTTCTGTTCCCAAATCTTTTGGTACAAGCAGGTCACTGATGCTAACAAATCTGCAGGAGAAAAAGAATGAAGTGAGCAGGCGAGTTGACCCCACACCCACTCACTGCTTTGCCTGAAATTCAAAACCCAAAGGATGAGACAGGTAGAGATGATGGCTGCATTCTTTGTTCTCACCATGAAGCCAAAATCAGTCTTGGATTTTAGCTGATAAAAATGAACATGTCACTTACTTCTGTTCAATTGGTTCCAAGAGCTCCAAAGCTGGTCTGATTTCTTTCTCGGGTTCCTTGGTCTCCACAGTTGTACTGACTATGGCGATGTACTTCCCTTGTGCTGCCACATTGTGTGCAGAGGAGATCATGCAGACATAGATATCTGAAAACAAGTAATGCCATCTCACTGCCAAGGTGTGTAAAACGTGGGCATATGTGCAACTCAAGCCTCACCCATATTTCGAAGTGTGAAGTAAAATTGCTTAGAATAGACAATGCATTTTCAGCTTAACTTCTATTGTATATGGAGGCAAACGGGGTCACACATAGAATATGCAAATAGTCAGTGACTTCTGGCCTTTTGGATGTCAAGGATTTATGTGGCAGTGAACTGCAGGACTTGAAAATGAGATGTCTCTTTCCAGCTCTGTCATAGCTAACTGGAAACCTGGCAGACCATATTAACTGCTCTGGGGTCTTCCATCTCTCTGAACCCTGTTTCATTAAGTGCAAATGCTCCTCAACTTGCAGTGCGGTTACATCCTGAAAAGCTCATCATAAATTTTAAGTCGAAATGCATTTAATATACCTAACCTGCCAAACATAACAGCCTAGCATACCTTATAAACATGTTAGAACACTTACATTAGGCTACAGTTGGACAACATACTCTAACACAAAGCCTATTTTGTAATAGTGTTGCGTATCCCAATTTACTCAATACTGTACTGAAAGTAAAAAACAATGTATGGTTATCACTTTTGCACCATCTTAAACTTGATAAATCATTAAGTGGGGACCTTCTACAGTGATTTCTCATATATTTAATATAAAAGTACATACCAGCAAAACCTATTCTTGAATTGGCATAATAAACTCATATAATTCCATAGGTTCTACTTGTCTGTATACCACTAAATTAACTACATAATTTTCAATACAGAAAGTAATTACTGTGTTCCCTTTTTTTTGACTTTCACATACCAAGGGATCTGCTTGGGAACCTTTTAAAGATTACTTTAGGCCCTGGCCAGTTTGGCTCAGCTGTGTTGGCCCCAGACCTAAGGGTCAAGGGTTCGAGTTCTGGTCAAGGACACATACCTGGGGTTGCAGGTTCAATCCTTGGCCCCAGTCAGGGTCCTGTGGGAGGCGACCAACTGATGTGTGTCTCTCACATTGTTTCTCTCTCTCTCTTTCCCTCCCTCCCTTCCACTCTCTCTAAAAATCAATGGAAATAGCCTCGGGTGAGGAGTAAAAAAAAAAAAGATTTTAGTATAAGTTCCTTTCTATAATAATCTGTGATTTGGATTCCTATATGGAAAAAAAATTAAATACAGGCAGCTATTAACTGTCTATTTAAAAGCTGATAGCCCTGGCTGGTTTGTCAGCAGTTAGAGGGTCCACCCACGGACCAATGAGTCTTGGGTTTGATTCTGGTCAAGGGCACGT